TAAACTGTATTTCTTCCATCATTCCCAATTAACTCCATCTCTCTTCCAGATTGCCTCTTCCTCTTTATCCCTTCTGTCCTGCAGAGTATTGACCGAATATACCTCCTCCCCTCCCTCCCACCCAAATCAAATCCCCTCCCCCCCTCCCTCCCAGGCCACCCCCCCCCCCCACCCCCTTTTTAGGCCTTCTACCTGCCTATCAATCATTTGTGGTGAAGATACCACCTTTGATTTTTATTTAAACCTTGGGGTTGAACTCCTCCCATGTACGACTTACCCACCCTCCAACCACACCACAGATTCCCTCGCTTTCTTTAAATCTTTTAACCTTAACGGTACAATTTGGGGAGAAAGTTAGGGGATAAGAGGAAAAAAAAAAAAAAAAAAAAACTCATTCTATCCCAACTAACTCCTCACTACCTCCCCCCTACCTACTTCCTGCCATACTTCTTTTCCCCCAATGCCTATTTCAGTCTCTGTTTCCCACCCACTAATCCTCATTCTCTGCAATTCCAGTCTGTCACAGAAGTCTCTTAAGTCCTCGGGAAATCTCATGTATGCTGTAACACCGTTCTTCCATCCGATCAGACACTCTGGGTTACCCCATCTATAATGGACATTTCTTGATCTCATCTGCTCTAGTAGGGGCCTCAAGGCTCTTCTTCTCCACAAAGTCTCGTACGATAGGTCCGCAAAAAATCTGGATATTTATATCTCCATAGTTAATAGAAGTTCTTCCTTTAGTCCTTCTCCAAATCTCTTGCTTATCTCATAATTTTGCAGCTGAACAAATCACATCTCTTGATTTTTCCTTCCCGTTACCTTGTTGGGGCTTTCCTGATCTAAAGACTCCATCCAGTTTAATTACCTCTGTTTCAGGTCTATCCATAATAGAGTTTACCATTTTACAGACTTTTTCTTGCAGTTCTCCCCCTTTTCAGGATATCTGGGATTCCTCTTATCCTCAAGTTGCTTCTCCTAGACCTGTTTCTCCTGTACTTCTATTTTATACTGCAGTTGTTTCTGCATATTCCTCATCAAAGTGGACCTTTTTTCTAAGTCTGAAATGAAATGGGTATGTTTGTTGATATTTCCCTCTATTTCTTCCGTTCTCTTTAGCAGATGCCCTAGATCCTGACGTATATTTGTCATTTCTTGCTTAATAGTTTTTTCCAAGTCCTTAAACATTACAGTCATCTCTCTTTTGTTCGGCACTTGCAAATCTTTTTCAAGATCTTTCCTCGCTAAATTTTCTGTCCACTGTTGGCTACTACTATCCAGGCCTATTGACAATCTAGGGCTATTCTCCAAGGTAGTTTCCATTTTCCCCTTTTCATTTCCACTATAGGCCCTTTCTGGAGTCGCATTACCCTGGGAAGTAATTTTTTTAATTTAGCCCGTCTGGGACCCTTTAAGCCCACTTCCTTTAGCGCTTTTATTCTTCATATCTTCTGCACTTAGTATAGCTCTTTAAACAGCAGGAAGCTTTAGGCAGTATATTGGGGTATTAATATTAAACAGTCTCTGTCACTTTAACACTTCATTTTCTTATTTCTTTTCCCAGGTCTCTTCTGTAGCCACTTAGTAATTTCTCGTTCCCTTTTCAATTCTATTTTCACTTTTCCAATCCCCTGGGAATCCCCCTTCTCTCTTTGTTGGTAGTTAGCAGTCCTTCCCACAGTTCATCACAGTTACACAATTAAATGTGGGATCATACATATGGACTCACCCTCCTTCACTTGTTCCCTCACCCAGTGAGTCGACTCAGATCTCCAGCCGTCCACTCACCACATTCCGCCAATGTCTCTGGGGGATTCCTGCAGGGTCTTCTGTAGGTATGTGTGCTCTGTCACCTTCCACTCCTGGGCTGCTGATTTTATAGATTTAAAACCGGCATCTCTGTTCTCCTGTCAGGGAGCCGGCATTTGTCAGGGAACCGTCCGGCGCCTCTGCTTCCCAGTGCTCCTTTGCGGCTAACCAGCGTGGTCACTCCGCTCTGCTCCGTCTTCCCGGCAACCCGACAGCTGATCCCAGGTCTCCGCGATACAGACACCTCCCGGAGCTCCGCATCCACACTCGCCGTCTTCTCCCCTCAGCACGCCGGCACCCTCTCCCCCTGGGGACCTCCTCACTCAGGTAGGGCTTCGGGCATTAAAGTGCTCTCGTGGTGGTGGTCTCCTCGTGGGTTATCGGAGAGCACTCACACATCGTGCTCTCCGACGCCGCCATGTTTAGGCTCCTCCCCAAAAACCACCATGAGCCTCTGTGGACAGGTGTCTTTTATACTGATAACAAGTTCAAACAGGTGCCATTGATACAGGTAATGAGTGCAGGACAGAGGAGCCTCTTAAAAAAGAAGGTACAGGTCTGCGAGAGCCAGAAATCTTGCTAGTTTGTAGGTGACCAAATACTTATTTTTCCACCATAATTTGCAAATAAATTCTTTCCAAATCAGCCAATGTGATTGTCTGGATTTTTTTCTCATTTAGTCTCTCATAGTTGAGGTCTACCTATGATGCCAATTACAGGCCTCTCTCATCTTTTTAAGTGGGAGAACTTGCACAATTGGTGGCTGACTAAATACTTTTTTGCCCCACTGTATCTCTCTATTTTATGCCTGAACTATTACTAAACAGTGTCAGACACGAGTCCCAGCTTTAAAGCCTGGTTCACATTGATGCAGGTTTGTTTGTGCAGGCACAGGTCTCAAATACAGCCATTGCATGGGAAAAAGCCTAAGCAGTCAATGTAATAAAATCATGACAGAATGCAGGAAGTGTGAGGCAGGGACAATACAACAGGGCAGAAGGACAGCATGTGCTACACATACCCTGTGTACTTTGACAAAGTTATTTGGGGCATGTGTAGCCAGTGTTCCCATCTTGCTAAATGTGATCCTATTCCACATCACCTCATTCAATGTGCCATGCTATATTTTCCCTATCCTATGTGGCCTCATTCAGCATCACTAACATACTACAGGTTGTAGACACTAGTGACGCGTATGTTCCCTAAATGACACCAGTATGTGCTTGATATTTTACCTAGGCTTTGGGTGCCCTTCTTACATTTAGCACCTATGCGTACCCTGAAATAATGTAGCTGGTAAGTGGCCCATTGTCCACATTATACATATCTACTGCGTGTACAGTATATAAAAATCTATATATTGTTTAGCATAAGAATACTTGAATGCAGAGGAGAGAAGTTAGCAATAACCTTTATTTAGTTAATGCACAATAATCAAAATGTTTCATTTCAGACAAAAACAGAAAACCTGGGAGAACGAACAAGGGGAAAATATACAAAGGCCTACTCTGCACAAGAAAAGGCCAGACCTTGAAGCTCTAGTGTGCAGGATGGCCAACTGGTTTGGTCACTTAAATTAAAATCCCAAATATGACATGTTAATCAGAGAGCTCGTCATCTAAGTTTATGTCTGTTGTATCAATATCGTCTAATTCCATGTTGTCCAAATCCTCTTCCAGGTCAAGGAAAGCCTACAAACAAGGAAATGAAATAGATTTGAAGTAAAGGAATGCATAGATTCAATGCAGACTCAGATTAGTGAGCTCTGTAACAAAGTGCGCCTATGGCATACCATCATGTACATAATGATCCTCCAAGCATTTCAAATTGTGAAAGATTCTCACATGGTATCATCCTGGGCAATTACTTGAGAGAACGTCCCTCTCACCTGAACCACTGTAAACATGCCTACCTCCTGCCGTTTGGAGGGAAATTTATAAGTATTTAAATCCCTGTCAGGGTTTTCATTTTCATTTTTTTGCCATCAGTGTCCCATTTGAAAGATGTCCTTTCACTTCCTGTTCTAAAGACACGAGGGAGGTGAGAAGAAATCCATCTCAGACAGATATCACTAGAATAAGTGTCTCCATTAGATAATTTCCCCTTATTTCTGTTATAGTGACAGCTGTACATTTTCTAATCATTTCCCTCACTTTTAGTCCTGGCAATCGTCACCAGGACAAATAGGGAAAATCTTCCTAATAGGGACACTGGCAGTAGTAATAACCTGACGGAGTCTAACCAGTATATCCAAAAAAATACTTTGGCTTTAGACACACTAATTACTTACCTGTCTGTCAGTTATGTCCTACAGGTAGGTGGATCCAACTGATGTAGTTATCTTGATAGTTTGCCAAAAATGTTCATATATGATATGGAGCTATCACTTTGTTCTACTATTTTTCTATAACACCTGATAGACTAGTGCGGTTACAACATTCTGAATCTACCTCTAGCAGTCAAAAAATCTCAGAATCGTGAGCAGGTTGTCATTAATACATAACAAAAGTGTAATCACACAGGTTTCTTTATGATGACATGCAACCCTTATATAACGCACTGTGATAAACAACATTCAAACATTCATTTCACCAAATACCAACTTCCAGTGGAAGTAAGCGTGAGGCAATTCTTTCATTTTGAAAACTCTTTCACACAGAGTGGTGTCCTCTCCATTCAGCAGGGAACCCCTAGCATATCCCCTGCTGAACTGGAGGCATATGGGAAGGATTTTTTTTTTTGTCATCTGTGTCCAGTCAGCTTGTGGCTGGCAGACCTGTGATGTCTCTGGCCGGATATAAAAAGGACTTCACTGTCCATGTACAGCAGGCAACATCTGATCTGTCACGTTTAGCTCCCGAAAAACAAAAAGGACACAGTTATTTTCCGTTTTTTTTTTTTTAAACGCACCTGCGCAGACTCAGAGGTAGTGGGATGTAAACAAGTCTGTTTAAATCTGCCTGTCCATAGGACTGCGTGAAGAATCCCATCAGGGTCGCCTGAAACACTGACAGGCGGACCTGATTGGTAACCCTGTATAAAAGGGGCCTTTATGCCCAGGGCTTTTAATTTATACAAAAAAAGTGGGTAATTTTTTTTTTTTTTTTTTTGTACTTTAACAAGGTGATAAAGCCCCCCATCTTTGAAAGCACTGAGTTTGCTTTGTGGCAGTCCTGTTATAATTCAGTTGACTAGATCAACAACCTGCCAAAAGGACTGTAAGAGAATTACGCAGACATCTGCCACATTAAACAAGTTGTCAGATTGTTTTTTTTTTTTAATATGAAATATACTCATCTATATGTAAAGTCACCTTCTCTTCTGTGATCGTGGCTGTTGGTATCACTGGGACTGAAGTGGGAACTGGAGCTGGAACTGGAGCAGAAGAGGGTACTATGGATTCAGGTGCTGCAGGGGGAGGTGTTACTTCTCTCTCGGTTTCCTCTTCCTGTAACGAATTAATAGTGCAAATGTTCAATGTTAGACTGCAAGCTACCAGACAAATATTAAAACCCTGAGCCAGCACTTGCCTGATTATCAAACCTATATTTTCATGATTCCCTTAGCCATAGTGCCAACAGAAAAAACAAATAAACAGCAATTATGTATTGAAAAAGAGAATGCTGCTGCGCTTACGAAAGAAAGCAAAAATGTCAAATACACATATTAAGCAGCAGTCCTAATTGTGAACTCATACACACAAAATTTTAAATAAATACCATATAGACCACGCTTGGGCCGTGCAAACAAACTTTGTGACAATAAGTAAATGATTTGTGTTATACAATAAACATTTGTTATACTGGTATTAGTACTCAGACCCAGTATGTAAAAGTGCAAAGGTGCTAAATTCTTGATTGTGAACTCCACATTAAAGGACAAGTGCTTCACTGTGCTCAGACTGGTGCCCCACATGGATTTGCACTCACCGTCACCCCATGACCACCTATCTCTAGGATGGTCATATATGCTTTTTGGACTATCCCAGTGTGCATGGTAACTGATGTTCCTTCACAAGTGTTAAGCAACGTTGCTAATAGTAACCGGTGTAACCATTAGCAAACAAATTTTCATTTATTTTTCCCCAAGGAGCTTACAAAGCATTGCCCCACCGATCAGTGGTTCACAGGTGCAGTGTCAGGCTCCTGCAGACAAGTTCTACAACTGTCAGTTCATACCTCTTATGGTCTTTCATTTTGATAGCTGCAGAACTTGTGAATGAACTATGCAAGCACTCATGAGCACCCTCTCAGTTCATTGAGGACTACAAGCTGCCTGTTGCTGTGGCAGATGGGACTTTTAGTTTCCTCATTCACAGATTGCTGAAATTTTCAAAATGTGGCAGTGTGGGAAGAGGAACCCCCGCCCGCTGTCACAGGCAGGGGGGAGCGCTTACGGGTTAGGAAGGGGTTACTTGGAGCATATTGCACCCTAAATACGATTGTAGAGTGTAACATACTCCAAAAGTGAACTTATCCTTTAAAAATCATCCCTAGATTCTACAGTCAGATCACAATTCTGCTCTTTGATAAATATACTTAACCCCTAGACGCCGACGTAACACAAATATACGGCCTCACAGAACTGGGCTTTTTTCCATGGGGCAGCATATTTGCGTACCTGTCTTTGTGCTGCGCGCTCCCAGCACAAAGACCCACGGTGTCACTGAGAGCACCGGGTCCCATTCTAATGATCGGGACCCGGGACTCCCGATTTCAGGTCACATGATTGCTGTGATAGCCTCTGATGGCTATCACAGTTATCAGTCACTGTACAGCCCGGCCCCCTTGTTTGTTTTCTCTCTATGAATGGAGGATAGAGATACATTGCATCTCTCTAACTCCTGGCATAGAGAGAAAAAAAAAAAGTTTGTAAAAATAAATATTAAAAAAATAAAAAAAATACCTAGATCAAGGTTTGAGCTAGTTCAGTGCCAGGGTTAGTGTTTGGGTCAAAATCAGGATTAAAAAAAAAAAAAAAAAAAAAAAAAATTTGATGTCAGTTAGTGTCAATGTCAGTGTGTTTTAGGTAAAAAAAAGACAAAAACAAAATATGCACTATTGTTTCTGGGCTGTACTACGGGTACAAAAAAAACAAATAACATACACATATATGGGATCGCTGCGATTGTCAAGAGAATTTAATTTTGGGTTGTTCTTTGTGGTGGTAGTAACAAGAAACACAGCTAAATAAAAAAACATGATTTATTATTTTGGGCCAGTTTTCCTTTGATACTAAAAAAAAAAAAAAAAAAAAATCAGGAGCTATCCATTACCATTTACCACCAAATGAAAGCCCAATTTGTCCTGAAAGAAACAAGGTATAATCCACCTGGATGTACAAAGTAGTGATGATATGGACGGTTTTACTACACATGTCTACAATGCAAAGTTGTGCTTAGGCATTTAGATTTGTTTTACCCTTAGGCATGAAAGGGTTAAGAGACTAATTATGAAATGCATCCTGTAATAAATCAGGAAAATGTCTAAGCTAATGCTTTCAGATGTGCCAAATAAAATGTATGTCTGGGCAAAATAAAAATATATATAATGAGTACACCTCCATTGGACCTTCAAGAAATAAACAAACCCGTTGCTGCCTTTTTTTCTAAAGACCTGTCCATACACACTGTGGGCAGGGAATGGCTCTTGAGTGTTGTTCTTAGAGTGTGCTTACATCAATAGAACTAAGCTCCCAGTAGCTGCCCCTGAAGGAATTTTACAAGCCTGGTGATGACATCACAGCTAGTAATGAAGTAAAAAAAAAAAAAAACCAAGTTGGGCGTTCTAGAGAGCGAGATTTAAGGTTTAGTTCGGGTATCACTTGGACATACATATTATGAAAGCGAAAGGCAGTTCAGTTTTCATATAATCACTGTTCCACTTGTTCCTCAGATATCTTGTTCCTGCTCTCTTTTGGACTCCTTGGTGTGGTAATCAACTGGCTGAATTCTCTATGGTGAATTACCTCATTCTCAACAGTGGTTCTCTGTGCTGTCAGTTGTCAGTTCTGCACATCCTGGACAGCAGCCTCAATTTTCCCCTGGCTTCTCTGAAACCTTATTCTTGCTGCAGGTTTGGGGGGAAAAGGTAGGGTCTTCAGGGTCTGGACTATGGCCCTAGATCTGTAAGCTCGCTGAGTCTAATTACAATCGAACACAGGATGCAGTGTCTGAAGCAGGCTGGCTCCCACTGCTGCAGGGTTCGGGCATGGATCCCATGATGTTCGAGAGTAACTTATATGAAAACTGCTAGTGAGCCCTGTAATAAGCAGTTGGATCTTGCTACAAGAGTCAGAGTAGTGAAGAAAAAAAAAAAAAAGAAAAGAAGAATGGTTTAGAAACTTCTCCTCAGAATAGGTCTGTCACCTAAGGGCACCAATTAAAGACTTGAATCCCACGAAGTGGGTGGGGTCATGTGAGCGCACATGGAGCGTTCTTAGCAACGTTTTTGCCATTGTTCAATCATATGAAGGTACTGTAGCTGGCATATAATCATGGTCTATGAATAGAAGTCATGTGTCCTGTACTTTAGTTATTTAGATTGCAAGCTCTCAAGAGCAGGGCTCTCCCAACCCTCTTGTAATGAACTGTATTGTAACTTTACTGTCTTCTTTTAATTTGTAAAGTGCTGTGCAAACTGTTGCCACTATGTACACCCTGTATAGGAATAATACCTTTCAGAAAAAGATCTTAGAAATGTCTAATGCAGGCCATACATGGTTCAAATTCCAAAAGATTTTGCGTCCGAAAATCGAAAACATCATTTGCTCGGTAATCTGATGGTGCCATCATCGATTTCGAAAATCGCCTACCAAGTCATAAAGTTCACTCCATATAACAGGCAAAACTTCTGTTCCAATCACTGAAAAGGGGAGGAACCACAAAACCGGCCAGTGCCATTGACCCACTAACAGAGCAAAAATCAGCCGATTACTCTTAGGTCCAATTTTCGAACGAAAAATCGGTCGAATTTCGACCCATGTATGGCCAGCCTAAGGGCGTATATGTTAGCACTGGGAACCCCTACCTTTGGTCAGTCAGAAGGACACCAGTCACTTGTCCCAAATGTACATTGTAGCAAGAGTGCATTCTGCACCTGACATGTCACACTGTTGGACAGGAGCACAGCGATAGGTTTACTGCAGATACAGGAATGTCATCTGAATCAGACAACAGCCCCTGTAGAACACTCTACTCCCTTGATTATAGCAGCCTCTATCAGCTGTAAAACAGAATGAAGCACTTCTGACAGGAGAGCAACATGTCTGGCACTTCAAGAGATGTAGGTTAAATATTACCACTGTAAATTACTGACACTCATGCAAGTCCAGTCACAGAACTCACCTTTGCCGTTTCAGAAGGAACAAATCCCTTTGCTTCAGCCAAGACATTTCTTTCTTCGTTTGGCTAGAAGACAGAAGATATCCGTTAAATGAAAAACCATGTACGGTAAAATCTGAATTGTGATCATTCACACATTACTAAAATACATATACAAGTGTTATGCCTCACAGGATTATATTCTGTACTACGTACCTATACAATAAAGGGTTACTTGATGATTGAAAATGTGTACAGTGAACAAAATATCAGAGGCACATCATTACAGTGATACCCCATTCAGTCACTGGACATAAGAACATGTATCAATACATTGGCCTACTTATCTGAGTTTGTCTCGGTTATGATTAGCCTTTATGTCAAGATGGCTTCTATGTTAGTAAAAAGGTTAAAAATGTTTTAAAAACCGGTTAACGAGCTTTGACACAAGTACTCACAGTGACATAGCGATATTCACTTGCTGGGCGCAAGGCACTAGTCTGCTGCTCTAGAAACTGTTCTCCCAGGAAGGCTTCCCGTAAACCAGGGAAAAGATTCTCATACTCAGTGGGGTCAGCCAAGGAGTCAGCTGCCTTTTGATTGATCTTGGACAGACTTTCCTTCCATAGTTTCACCACCCTACAAACAGAAATTGAAGTTATATCCATATCTATTAAGGCCTGGACATTATTGGGTTTTTTCAAAAATTGATCACGAATTCTTAACCACTTGACCTCCGTACGATTTACCCCCTTCATGACCAGGCCATTTTCAGCAATACACCAATACGTTACTTTAACTGACAATTGCACGGTGCGCTGTACATTAATGAAATGTCTTTTTTTTTTCTCACAAATAGAGATTTCTTTTAGTGGTATTTGATCCCTTCTGCATTTTTTTTCATTTTGTGAGCGCTTAATGAAAAACACTGACATAAAAAAAAAAATAAAATTATATATATACAAAAATTAAAAAAAAAATCTAAATTTCTAATAAATTTAGGCCAAAATGTATTCTGCTACATAAAAACCCCAATAAGCATATATTGCGCAAAAGTTATAGCATCTCCACTGACACTTTGTGGGAACGAGTGACACTAATACAGTGATCAGTGCTAAAAATATACGACAATAAACTAATGACACTGGTTGAGAAAGGGCTAAACATCTAGATCAAAGTGTTGACTGTGTGCACAATACACTGTTTTTACTAGGCAATCTGCTAGATTTTATTCCCGGAATAAAATCTAGCAGATAGCCATTGACAGAACACAGCTCTGCCTTGTTTACATAGGCAGAGCTGTGTTCTGACAGTCTCCTCAGCGATCAACAGGTGCTATGGTGGAACCCAATACTTGGCTTAGACGATTGCCTAAGCCACCTATAGATGGTAAAACGAAGAACCAATGCACCTATTGCGGTTCACCTGGGATGAAAAGGGAAATCAGTCTTTTTTTTTTTTAAAGAAGCAGTGGCTGAATTGTACAGCCTAAACCACATCTATACAATGAAAGGAAATTCACTTTTGGTGAAATGGAGCCAGGCAGAGGTAAGGAAGGTAAGTATTTCACCTTAATCCTGCACCCCCAAACTAAACGAGCAATTAAACTTTGCTGTGCGGTGGGCCCCCACTGCCAGGGTAAATTTTGTCATAAACTTTATTTTTAGTATTTCCCTTGCACATGATTTGGTATTCAAAGTGAACACATATATACCTTGTTTACCTTAAAAAGTGTTACTAAACCCACAACAGTAAAATCAGTCTGTGTATGCAGTAAAGCATGTTTGTTATACTCACTGAGGAACCTAAGGGGTTAATCCTCTGCATTCATCCTGTCTTCTTTGATCCTCCCCTTCTTCCACAGTCCCCAATCCATCTGCCTTAGCTAGAGAAGCAGTGACAAGCCTGCACATGCTCTGTTTGGTGTGTATTGCTAGAGAATTATTTTGGGGGAGAAGGGCACATGTGATTGGCAAAGGGCCAATCAGCGCTATCCAGACAGAAGATCAAGGGTTATGCAGCCTCATAGAACAGTCAGAGGAGAATGAAAGCTCCTCCTACAAGATTAACCAGTGCTCAGCCAGACTCTGATAGAAGTCACAAGACTGCTATATACTGCCTATGAGAAAAAGTATTTAGCAGTTTATATTTGCTAATATAATTGCATTTCCATGTTCTGTGTACCATGGTAGACTAGATATAGTGAATGCAGGGTCCTGGAATTAGTAAAACTTTAAGTAAATGAACATTCGCTTGCCAAGTTAACAGCCTCTAATCTTTTAGCAAAGCAGCCCCATTGTCTTCCAAAAGTAATTTGGTATTCCTGCCTGGTGTAGCAAGCAATGTTTGTCACAAGCAGGTGTCAGAATATATTATTCAACTGTGCATTTTCTGCTTCAATACATTCTATGCAATACTGTACTTTGGAAGTGTAAAACTTCTATCCATCTAGGTCACACTAGAATACACAAGGAGATCTTTTTACTGTAAAAGATGATATACCGTACTTGTTTTTGCCTATACTAGAACACTATGTCCTGTTTGTAGTATTATGCGCTGCCTTTTAATAGAGATTTGGGGGTTGTACAAGGGTGTGTAATTTGAAATACACTATTCCTTGCAAAGGATCACTTATAACTTATAGAAGATAGATATGTACACACTCATTTTAAGTGGAGCTCCAGCCTAAGTTAATAGTTAAATGCAGAATTGTTTAAGCAGTTGCAGGCCTGGGGCAGATATACTGCAGCAGCTCCATGCTGGATCATGGATTTAATACGTGCTTCTGCTCTACCAGGTAGGGGGCACATGTGAACTCGCCTTCTGCCCCAGCTGTGTTGTGATTCGTTACAGCACAAGCAGATCAGCGGAGTGGATGATAGGGGAAAGCTCTGTGATTGTAAACAATACAGAGCTCTGTCCTGACAGCAGTGATGTGCTGGTTTTTGTTTCCCTGCAAAGCAGGGAATAAAAACCGGCACATCCCTTAGTAAAATCAGCACACAGTAAACACATTACACTTGTTAGGCACACAGTTAACACACACAATCTAAATGTTCCTACTCACCTGGACACTTGGCTTGGCAGGTAAGTACGTGCCAAGAAAGCAGCCTCAGGAAGTCGACCAGTGGAAATGAGAAGCTCCAAGCAAGTATCCATCCTGCAAGGGAAGCAAATGATTGATAAATAGTACAGACACCATTTAAATTATTAAAATTATAAAAGTTCATGGGGGCTGGTTAGGCTGCCATTTGCTTCATGCACTATAAGAAAAAGACTGAAATTATGCTCAAGGTGCAATGACTGAAGACAGTATGTTGGTTTTACATTAAAAAAAACTGTCGTACATACTTTCCTAGTAGAAAGTAGCTCAAGAAAGCTACATTGTTCTTTCCATCTCTTTCAGCACCTTCAGCCAACTTGTTCACCATGGTGGTATTTCCTGAAGATGTTGCTAATAGTAAGAGACCACCATAATCCTGAGCATTGTGTAGACACTCCTGAGCCAGTCCAAACTGGCACTTGCTGATGGCCAACTCAGCTAGCTGCTTCCACTTCTGTTCAGACTATAAAAGGAAGGGAAAACATTTCATTAATTAACCAACAAAAAGAGTTATTGCAAAGCTATCAATATATGTAACATTCTGCATGAATAAACTACTCTAATGTAACTGTATACTGCAGTGGTATAAACACTTACATGGGCAATGTTTACCCGCATTGGATGTGCATTTAATAGATTTCATTACAAAAACCTTGAGTAAGGGAAGCCAAATAAGGGCTGGTTCTGAACACCATCGCAGCAGCTGGTATGCAGTTCAATTCGGTGCTGAGCTCAGCAGATCTCGCAACTTTTTTTTTTTTTTTTTTTTTTTTTTAAAACGACTTTACTGAGATGTCACATCTCATAAAGTTCAACTGTCAGCTGCGTGGTACGAGGCAGTGGTGTGAACAGATGTGAAGAGTTCCATTTAAAAAGCAGTTCTTGAGGTTCAAACAAGAGACAGCGGAGCAGCATATGAGTCTTCAGCAAACAGGAAGAATTATGTACCTTAATCTTCCATCCCTCAGTGATACTCCATTTGTTCAATGTTAGCTTCATTCATTCATGTACAATGACTGTTCATAAAACTGGAGTGTGTGTGAATGGCTATCCACGTCTGTAGTTACCTTAACACAGAGGCAACCCAAATGCCACATTGACAAAGTCATTGAATTTAATTATAATGTTGCTTATAGGATGTTATATACAGATATCACTGTAGACTTTCAGAGTGCCCAAAAGATTTGATAAGGAAAGAAAGGAAGGAAGGAAAAGAACAAGGCAAGACATTACCTCTGCCTCTACTGCCAGCTGATATGCGATCTTTAGTTCTCCTAGCTGCAGCGCCAGCTCAAAGCGATGCTCTGGGTCTGTGGACACAGCTAAGGCTTGTTGTTTGAAGCCCTGCAGAAGGAATACCGTTACAATTATTGAAATCTAAGTCACTAGGGAATTATAAATAGTAAATTTCGGAAGCCATTCATTCATTTACCTGTTTCTCCAGGAAGTGGGCAACACGTGTCCTCTGTTCTTTGGGGATGGTTGGAATGACTTTGTCAGCCATGCTGAAATCCCTTCTCATCACAGCTGTCTGATACTCCAAACTGACACCAGCAGAGAATAGCTGACAATGTTTAGCTCTTTGTCTCCCAGGTACAAACGATTATCTTTGGGAATGTAACCCAGCAAATACATTGTCCTAAAGTAAGACAAGTTGTATATCTGCTACTTTTTAATGTTTCCGTCACAAAACTACACAAACATACCAGCAATATGATTTAGTCACTATTACTGTGAAAATAAACTACCCCACAGATTGGGCTCTAACACTGGCAACAGTGCCTACTGCCCCCAGAAAAGGGATCCGCATGACTTCAAGGATCATGGAAAGTGACTGAGTGGTTGTACAGTTCCTGGGACACTTTCACTAGAAAAGCTGACAGCCAGTTTGTGAGGCCACTGGGAGCAAGTAAAACCCCCCAATGTCACGGCTGTAAGAAGGGTTAAGCAACCTGCTAACAGACTTCAGTAAGTTTCTGCATAATTTGAAGCTTGTGAAAAATGACCATACTCCCATTAGGATGTGTGTTTAATATTTTCAAACTGGAGCTGATGGGTTCTTTTTAAGCTTGGTGGTGTTCACACTGCACTCAAGCCTGTGTGAACCAGGTCTTAATGTTTTCCATAGTCACAAAGACTCTCACTGCTGCAAGCTAGGACATTATTCACGAGGACTGGTAGTCTTTTTTTTTTTTTTAATCCCATTCCTTTATACAGCTAAATGTTACAAGTATACATAAGCTAAGAATGAAGCCACTTACCTGTCCAAGTGTGCAATGGTAACAATTTCTCCTCCTACGTAGTAGTTGAGTCTGTTCACTGTGCTGGTGTAGATAAAACAGTCTCCAACCCACAAGCCAGTCTTTACTATTTCCTGAATTTCACCCAGAACCTGGTAAGAAAGTTATGAGTTCAAATATTTAATGCACATATGCTTTATTGGTTTTTTTTGCCTTCCTCTGGATCAACTGTGGGTACAGGAAAGCATATATGGGGGTTTTCTATGTGCATGTGTGTATTGTGTTTTTTTTTTTTTTTCCTCTGTTGATTGAATGGGATGGACTTGGTCTTTTTTCAAACAGATAACTATGTAACTGTGTAAAAACATAAGGGAAAACAATGTCATCCAAACCACTTGTTACAATAGTTTAGATTAAAACTTTTCCTTCATTATTGTACATTATCCACTCAGGTGATAGTGGAGAACAAGACCGCCACCATAAATATCTACACTCTGGCTACAGGACAGCACATAAAATAATGTGTTGTACTTACTTCAAAAGCATCCTCTATGCCATCCTCAGAAACTCCTTCATGCGTCTCCTGTGCTGCAGCTACTTTGTCAGACAAGTATTTGAGAATGAAGAAGGATTCCTCTGTGGCAATGCAGACCAGCTCTCCAGAGTCTGACCAGAAAATCTGCAATATAGGAATAGCACAGTGTATGTAGTACTATATGGGACGAAAATATTCACTGTAGGAGAATCCTCTGGGTCCATGTGTTTTAAATGACAATGACCGATTAACCACCAGTGAAAGCTTTGTGAAAGTCACATTTACTGCTTTATAAACATAACCCTTCGACTTTTAACAATGCAAAGTAGCTATTTTACTATGACTACTATTCAAAAATTCCCCCAGAATCCTTTGTGCTGAACTTTTAGATTACACAAATTATGTCTTTACATACAATAAATATTTCTGCTTAGCATTTTGTGAACTCACGTGTTTGGGTTGGATTTCTATCCTACGAATAAGTTCAGTATTTTCCCAGTCATAGAAGGCCAAACCGTTAACAGAGCGGACACCAAGAAGAAAGCCGCCATAGATTCCTGGAAGAGTGTGCAATATATTTTGTTTTGTTTAGTTGCCAAATTATAAAAAGTTAATCATCAATCGTAGAATGAAACTAAAAATTAAGTGTATCTTGTGTAAAATATTAAATCTATATTTATTAATAAATGTATAAATCCTGATCAGTGACTTTAGAATATAGGTGTACCTTGGTTTACGAATGTAATGTGTTCTCCGGGACGTTTCGTATTGCGAAAAATTCGTAAACCGAAATGCAGTTTCCCATAGGAATGCATTGAAAACTAATTAATCCGTTCCAGAGATCAGGAAAAAAAAGTTAAAAAAAAAAAAAAAAAGTCGCTGTCACTATAGGTCAGTGTCGGTTTTTAAATGTAATTACTGGCTTGTTTTTCCTTCACTATAGCTCAGAGAATCAGCTATCACTTTCCCCCAGCTAAAAGAAAGAAAGTTTCCTTTTAGTTTATTTCCCTGGAGTTTAAAGAAACAATGTTTCCTTTTATTTTGTTTCCCAAGATAAAAGAAACAAAGTATCCTTTAGCTCCTGGGAAAGTGACCGCTAATTCTGTGAGCTATAGTGAAGAAGAAAAAAGAAAAAAGCCAGCAATTGCATTTAAAAATCGGCATCATCATACACTTCGTATTGCAAAAAAATTTGTAAACCGAGGCATTATTTTCAATGGATGTTTATTCGCTCATGTTTTCTGATCACACACACCTATCTACCTGTTATGATGGCTGCTTCACTGGCCAATAGTAATGTTTAGGAGACAGAAAAGGGAGACAAGCTTTGGTACTATCATACTCTTTTTTAGGATAGGATAATGGACATAGATAAAAAAAAAGAAATTACGATAAAAGCTTAGAAGCCCTATAGAAGTTAAACATCCATGCTATTTCAGAAGAAGAAAACCAACCTTCTGCACCAAAATCAGGTTTAAAACTTTTCTTCTCTTTGAAGTTTTTGAAGATCTTCACTACACTATTGCTTTCACGAATAGCATACCTGCAAGTGATATGAGAATTGAAATGTTAGCTGTAAGGTTATTTGATTTCTCTGTGTATACAGTACCAAGGTATTGTGGAAAATGAATAGTTCAGAGTCAACCAGGAGTCTGAGGTATATCCTGGGTAATCTCTTCAGTACCTGAGCAAACTTTTCAGTTGACTAATAATGAACATGTATAATTTTGGAACATGCATCCCCAGTGAGTAAAAATCTGCAAATATTTGGGGACTTTTAAAAAAAAAAAAATGTTTTTGCTTAAAGTGACACTAAAGAATTTTGTTTGGCTTAAAATAAAAAAACAAATTATACTTACCTGCTCTGTGGATCTATATTACAGAGTGGTCCCTTACCTCCTTGACAGTCCCCTGCTGGTGCTGTCAGCTTCTCCTTTGAGCCTATGGCTCCCACTGCTTTCAGGGTACTTTAATGAGGCTTATTTGCTCTGCTAAAGAAATGCTGAAACATTCCACTTACTCAGAGGAGTCATGAGCCCAAACAAACTCTTGTGCAGATCCAAAGCTCTTGTTTCTCAGCGCCATAGCTGTGTATATAATGTATTCTCCATCTCCGCACACAACCACGAACCTAAAAATCAGATAGCGACTTATGAGCTGTAGAGTGTATGCACTTGCATAATAAATACTAGTCACGACCCATAAAAAGTCCTTACCTGCCATTGGGATTGTGTTGTATGGTCTGTGGATAGATTTCACAGCTGCCCATGTCCTTCACAGCGAGAGGGAGCCGTTCTCCATCCTTAATTTCTGTTTCACCCATGGCTTTTAGATTAGCCTGTTGCACTTCAGAGTGCTTAGCCCAGATGATTTTGCCATTCGCATCCATAGACATTGCTGGCTCTTCACGACCCAGCTAGAAAGAGAACAGTCATATAGTTCAATACCAGCAATGTAGAGGCATCTGTATATCTTTAGGACCGCCGAGGAGCAGATATACTGCTACAGGGAAGCCACCTTGTGCAAAATCTCGTATATAAATGTGTTGCTAAACTTCAACCTTGGGGCGCGCATGTGCGCCACCGCCGGGCCGCTTTGGCTGTTTGTATTTACAGTAGAAACCAATCTGCAGATGCCGAGCAGTGGATGTCTGCTAGCACCCACCGATCGTCAGGGAGAGACACAGAACTGAGCACTGCCTATGTAAACAAGGCAGAGCTCCGTTCTGATAGGGAAGAAGTGATGAATCTTGTGTTCCTGCAGAGCAGGGAATAGCATCCATCACTTCCCTTAGTAAAAGCAGCACACAGTTTACACAAAAGCACTAGCTAGGCACACATTTAACCCTTTGATTGCCCTAGATGTTTAACCCTTTCCTAACCAGTGTCATTAATACAGTGTCAGTGCATATTTTTAGCACTGGTCACTGTATTGGTGTTACTGGTGCCCACAAAGTGTCAGTGTCCAATTGTCCGCTGCAATATCGCAGTCCTGCTATAAGTTGCTGATCGCTGCCATTACTACTATATAAAAAATTCCAGTATATATACACCACCACTTGTAGCTGCTATAACTTTTGCACAAACCAATCAATACATGCTTATTGGGATTTTTTTTTAACCAAAATTATGTAGCAAAATACATATTGGCCTAATTTTATGAAGAAATTTGATTTTTTTTTTACAGGATATGTTTTATAGCAGAAATTAAAGTATATTTTTTTTGCCTGTCTTTTTTTGTTTATAGCGTGCAAAAAGAAATCCGCAGTGGTGATCAAATACCATCAAAATAAATCTCTATTTGTGGGAAAAAAAATAGCATAAATTTTATTTGGGTACAGAGTTGCATGACCGTGCAATTGTCAGTTAAAGCAACGCAGTGCCGTAATGCAAAAAAAAGCCTGGTCAGGAAGGGGGAAGGTAAATTTTCCGGAGGACAAGTGATTAATATGGTAGTTTTTTTTCAAAGGGTAAAACCTTAATATTTTCTCTTACACAAATAACTTTACATGACCAGCGGCACCATTTTTTCTTAAATGATACCTGAACCTTTCCATGACTTACCTTAACAATGATGCTGCCCTCATCATACCCAAGAGCAACATTGTTGGAGCCCCGGAGTCCACACACACACCAGACTCGCTCCATGCCATAGTTCAGAGTACTCTCAAGTCGATAAGTGCTGGAATGCCAAATCCTAACAGTGCCTGTTGGGAAAAGTTTCATAAAATTTGATTACCTTGTCCCCCCTAAAACATATAATTCTATCTAAAATCATCTTCCTGCTTCTCACAATACAGGGTTTCTAGCCTAAAATGTGTACACATTCTGATGTCTGAACTTTTATACAATATACCTCTATTGCTATAAATTAAAGAAAAAAAAATCAATTTTTCATGTATTAACCCAAATGAACCCCCTTTTATTCCTGAAAACCAGTAAGGCCTAATGAACACTGGGGATTTTGTAAATGCTTTTCTCCTCGCAGGAGAAAAGCAACATCAAGAACATGCCTATGCAGTGTTTAGCAAATGGTTTAGGAGTGTCTAGTGTTTGGGCATTTATTTATTGGCTGAAATAATAATTTATTCTAGCCATTGAAATGAAAACAAATGGTCAAGTGCTAAATGCACCTAGCATTTATGCAGTTTTTTTTCCTGCCAAAAATACACCCTCTTCTTTTCTTTTCAATGGGTTTTTATTGGTATTTTAGTATTTGAAGTACAGAATACAAAACTTGACCACTTTCAAAGACAAAAACAGAATTTCATCCAGCACCAGTAGTCAACAGCGGTTTAAAATGTATGAAATATAGTTAAAGTAGGTAAGGGTTTGGATAATATATCCAAATACAGAGGTAGGAAAAACATTTTGTGTCGGATAGGTAATAAGTGCATAGAAAAGTTGTTCGTCTATAGTTTCACAGCCGACATCAACGTGAACTATAGCGAAGAAGATATGTTAAAATGCTAGAGCCGAAAAACTTAAGTAAAAAAAAAAAAAAAAAAAAAAAAGAAGGGGGGGGGGGGGGGGGGGAAGAGAGAGAAAGAGAAGAAAGGAAGGAAGTAGAAAGTGGACGTTCCCAAAGCTTGAATTCAGTTAGTGAGGTATGATTGGGTTATAGTGAAGGAAAGCTATTCGCTGAGATTTCCAGGTGAGCATATTGAATCCACGGAGTCCAAATTTTAAGGAATCTCTCGTGGGAGTCTGAGAGTATGCTAGCCAATTTTTCATTTATTAAAAAGAAGTCAAGGCAGCGATGAACTTCCGTAAAGGAAATTAATTGCGGTTTCCAGGCTTTCGCTATGGTTTGTTTGGCCGCCAATAGTACATAGGTGGCTAGTTTAAATTTGTGTTCAGACAGACCCGGAGGTTTTAGGTGTAAAATAGTGTACCACAGAGTCTCTCAGGAAGGGGTAGGTGAGTAGAGATTGAAGTAATTTGAGGAGTTTTGTCCAAAATCGGGAGATGATAGGGCATGTCCACCATATGTGTAGGACATTGCTCGGTGCGTTACAGCCACAAAAACAAGTGTTGGAAGAAGATGAGTAGAGTAAAGCTAGGCAGGATGGGACAAGATACATCTTGTCACTGTTTTAAAGGCCAATTCCATGGTGAGGACATTGATGGAGCATGAGGTCATGATTAACCATATCTGTGACCAACATGCATGATCTTTAGTGCCTTTGAGGTCCCTTTCCCATCTGGAGATGTAAGCATGGCTATTGGGGTTCCGCAGGTTAGTGAATTGCGAGTACAGAATTGAGAGAAGTTTAGGGGAGAGAGGTGTCCGGTGGCAAATATGTTCAACAAGGATAGTTGTGTGGTCGGATCTTTATTAGTAAGGATTGAAGTTACCAATGATTGGGCTGTAGATAGCGGAAAAGTTCCGTTGCGTGGGGGGACGGCGCCCCTTGTGTTTGTCCCTTATTTCTGCCCAGGTGTAAACTGAGCAGCCCATAAGAAATGAGTGAATACAATGGAAGTTGTGGGAGGTCCACCAGTGAAAGGAGGAAAATACCCCTCTCTTGAACTCACAAGTGATGGGTTTTTTTCTGGCTCTAAACTCCTATGTACACACCTATGTGTCCATGGACACATAGGCTAACATGGAGGGGCGTTTAGCAGTGGAAAAAAAAAAAAAGTCAAAACACACCTATAAAACAGACGTTTTTGAGCTCAAGTGTGCAATGAGGCCTAAAACATTAATCTAGTTAGTCATCATTGTTTACTGTACAACTTAGTAAGCCTCATCCTTTTTAAATGCCCCTGCAAGTATTATAACCTGTTCAAAATGTTTTTTTTTTTTCTGCACTCATAACATCTCTACCAAAATGTACATTGAAATCATTCACAGACTTACCATCTTCGGAGCCTGTGATTATAATAGGGAGTTCAGGATGGAAACTGACACAAGAAACATTCTGAGCATGTCCTTCCAGAGTTTGGACGCACGTCTTGTTCTATACAGAAAAATATAGGAGAAAATCAAACAGCAACTCTATGAATGATCCTAAAGGAGAACTCTAGATTCATTCAAGAATTCATTCAAGAATGCAATAAACATTCCCAGGAGCATGCAGTAAATATGAAAATGGCCGATCATGGAAACCAGAGAACATTAACCCCTTCACACCGGCGCCTCCCGGCCCTTTAAGAGTTTCAGAAGCCGGGAGGCGGGACAGGCGGGGTTTAGGGATCATGTGACCACCGTGACGCGTTGTCACGGCGGTCACATGATCAGAAAGGTCCCGATCGAAAGAGGAGACTGGGACCTTTCCATGAGTACCGGACATGTGTGCTGGGAGCGCGCACTCAGCACATTTTTTTTTTTTTTTTATTAGAACGCAAATGTGCGGCAGCTCGGCGTCTAGGCCCAGACACCGGGAGGCTGCACATTTGTGTGCGGCCAGCATGAAGAGGTTAAGCTGTTAGTATATGACTCAGACCCACATGAAGAATAGGATGGAAGGTTTATAAATGCTAGCATCCTCGGCAGTCTAAACTATTGGTGCGAATGCTTCTTTTATGCACCAGTTATTATCCTCCAGTTGCGAAAGGACAGAAGCAAAGCCAATTTACCTTGGAAGGGTGGCAAAGCTGTAGGGCTTCAGATAATTTTGTATGACTCAGTTCTGCCAGCAATAACATGAAGAAGAGGAGACGTCATACAATCATTCTTGATTTTTGAATTATACCTCATCATAGAGACTGTTAGAACCCAAGATTAAGGGGACAGTTTAGCTATAAATATTGCTTCCTGAAGTTCTTCCTCAACATGAATACTGGAAATCTAACAAACCTTCCTATAACTAAACAGCTGTGGTTTAACTCTTAGAACAGCCAGAATCCAACAACACATCGATAAACAGCCACATTTTTTCCTTTGCACCATAACTAAAAACCATGTACATTTCTTCGTGCAACCCATGATTTCTCTCACTAACCTGGTAGTCCCAAATCTTTACAAGTCTGTCATCAGCTCCAGAGATGAGGTATGGCTTGTCACCTCCACTATAATAATCAATGCAGTTCACCCCTTTCTCGTGTCCCTCGAGAGTGAAGTTAGGGGAAGAGGAGCCAAGCTGCCAAACCTGTACAAAAAAACATTGACAGTACAAGTAAAATAAGATAACAGCACAACTTATAACATTAAAGAAGAACTAAAGGCAAATCTTTTTTTTTTTCATTTTAGATTGAGTAAGGGAGAGTTATAACCCCAATCAGTTTCTTTTGCATTAGTGTCCCATTGGGGAGATTTCACTGTCCCATAGCCAAAATAGGAAATGAAAATAAAATCCCTCCAAATGAGGGGGAATCACCAGAACTAGTTTCTCCATTGATATAATTCCACTCTGTTCCCATTCTAGTGACAACCCAAAATTTGGAATTTTCTTTCACTCTTGGTGATAACAGTATACAGGAGAAATAGGGTGAATTTCTAATGGAAACACGGACAGCAATAACAACCTGACAGGTGATCTAATCCCTCTCCACTCTATCTAAAACAAAAGGAAAATATTTTACCTTTAGTTATACTTTAAGGACCTATCCCACCATCATATAAAGCAGCAATGTTTGGTGTACCTTAATAGTGCGGTCAAGTGAAGCACTTGCAAACTGGTTGTTGTCCTTGGGGTTGATGACAATTTGCATGACGTAGTGTGTGTGACCTTCAAACACCTGAGAGCAAGACCATTTCTTATCCCAATCCCAAAGTTTAATCATCATATCATCTGCAGGAAAAAGACAGACATAATTCACACAAAAACTGTACACAGCTCATGCTAACATTACTATACAAAAACAACACATTTTATTTCAACATTATCAGTAAACATACCACTGCTGGTGAGAATGAAAGGCTGTGTGGGGTGCACAGCGATACAACGGATATAGTCCGAATGAGCCTCAAACATGTGAACCCGTTCCAATGTATTGTAGTTGAAGACTCTGATTTGCATGTCATCCTTAGGATAGAAAATGAGCAGTGAACTTTACATCTGCACATAGAATGGATCTTAAGAGATATTACTTACATGAAAAATCAAATAAAGGGAAACCTTTCAAATTAGAGCCAAAAGTATCATTGTTAGTCCTATGTCCTTTTTATTGAACACTTTGAAAATTTAACTAGCAGGCATTACCTCTGCATAGAAAGCATCAACCACAGTGGACCTTTGCAATCATCCCCATCTGGACTGAAGTATTCCAGCCATGGGAGAATTATGGAAAGTCCATGCTTAGCCGTTTAAAACAACAAGACCTAGGCCTTACATCGCAGAGTAATGAAGAATCTATTTTTAGTGTCATTCCATCAGTAGTGAAACACTGTTTTTCATGTGCCTGCAATTTAGTGAAGCCTTGATGGTTCGGCCAGCAAGGCAGCCAGAACATAGGAACAGGAGAGCATTTTCTCTGCAAAATGGATAACAGGCACATGGTGTGGCAGTCCATGTATGTATTAATGAGTTCCAAGTGGGCAAGGGTAGTCCAGTAGGCACTAAGGGCAAGCTGCGAAGAAGCGAAGCATAACTCTGCAGAAGGGAAACAAAGAAACACAGCTTCCTATTAACCACTTCCAGTCCAGGCACTTTTACCCCCTTCCTGTCCAGGCCAATTTTCAGCTTTCAGTGCTATCACACTTTGAATGACAATTGCGCGGTCATGCAACACTGTACCCATATGAATTTTTTAGCATTTTTTTGAGACAGATAAAGCTTTATTTTGGTGGTATTTATTCACCACTGGGATTTTTTTTTTTGCTATGTAAATTAAAAGTCCAAAAAGTTTGAAAAAAAGTGTTTTTCTTATAAAATTTTGCAAATAAATAGTATTTCATCATAAATCTTGGCCAAAATGTATTCCGTTATATTTTTAGAAAAAAAAAAATAAAAATAACCCAAATTAGTTTATAACCAAAAATTAATAAATTTTTTTAAATATTTATTATTTTTTTCCATACTGTCACCCTAGCAGTACAGTGTCACCATGGTGACACTGTACTACTTGTGGGGGGTGATGAAGATTTTTTTTTTTTTTTTTTTTTACACTGATTGCTTTTACACCCATAAAGGATGTAAAAGCAATCATTTCTCCTTCTCTCTAGCTGCATTCTTGCAGCCATTGAGAACTACTGACTGAGTTGTGATTGGTCACAGCTTGTCACATGGTACAAGGCTGTTGTGAATAGCCTTGTACTATGTGACCTCTGTGATCATTCACAGATTTCACACATAGTAAGCAATGATATCACAAGTGACATCTTGCTTACTACTCTGCATGTGATCACTGGTTGGCCAATCAGTGATCACATGATCGGGACCTCGCACAGAGGTCCCGTCCGACAATCGGTGTTCCACTGTGTCCAGAGGACACAGCGGGCACTGGATTGCGGTGCTGCGCGCGCCCAGGGAGCGCGCACAAGCAGGGTGCGGGGAGGCCGTTTATAAAGGGCCACCCGACCCTGCACTGCCACCGTCTGGCCGTTTATATATAACGGCCGGACGGGAGGTGGTTAAATCTCTTCCCAGTACACATTTAGAGGTGCTGTGTTTCTTTGTTTTTCCCTTCTGAGGAGTGTTTTCTCTGCCCTTCTTGGAGACAAATCACTACAGACAGTTTCACCAGTGTGATGCATGTGTAACACATCTTGGGGGTGTAACCAGCAGGAGATATTACTGGCAGAGCCTGAGATTAGTCTAACATACATCTTTGGGGTGTAGGCAGCTGGAGATACTGTTGAAGTCTGGCTGAGAGTGTGTGCTGTGACCAGAACATGGGTGTTGCAGCTACTACCTTTACATGAAAAAGTCATTTAGCCCAAAAGTCTCTTGAAGAAATTAAAGAGAAGGGCACTTCATAGTATCCAACAAAAACAAAACCCAACAGGCAAACTGGCAAGTGTAGGCCTACAGAAGTAAGAGGAGAGCACAATGAGTGCTAGATTCTTTCCAGGCAGCACAGTGGCTTAGTGGTTAGCACTGCTGTCTTGCAGTAACAGAGTACTCAGTTTGAATCTTTGTTATGACATGGAGTTTGCATATTCTCTGTGTGATTGCATGGGTTTCCTCCCACACTATAAAGACATGCTTGTAGTTAGTTGGCTCCTGTGTAATATGGCCTTAGTATGTGTGTATATGCATGTGAGACAGGGACTATAGTTCCTAAGAATTTTGGGGATGGTCTGATGCGAATGTAGAATATATTTAAAAAGCTATACATTGTCAGTAATATTCAACTGGGAAAATTCATCCTTGGCCAAGATATGTAGTAGGCGGCCTACTGAACAAGAACATTCTCTGATCTGACTGGAAATTAGCAAACTGAGTGAATGACCTGTAACAGCAGTAAGTACCTTTACGGATAGTCATCAAAGGTGAAATGCAAATGGTAACCAAAATACAGTATAGCAAGCATATAAAAATTAGAATATCACATTAGAAATGTTTTGACTTTTTATTCATTTTTACCCTGCACCAGGACCAGGGCATTGTTTCCAAAAAATGTCGCTGAATTACTTTAGTGAAAATGTCAAACTTACTGCTCCTGTGACGACCCAGTTTTTCCTAGCCACAAACTTCGCCGCTCTGACTGGCAAATCACATACTTCAAAAGTTTTTACAAGTGTCTGAAAGCACAAATAAAAGTTTTAAGACAAACATAATGAAGCACCAAAGTGGTGAGTTTGAAACTTTTCACCAATTACAGATAAGAATTTAACTTCATACCAGTTGGGTTAAAAAAAAAAAAATAAACACAGACACAACGTCTACTAATTTCACCCCATAAATAAACCATAAATTAGTAAATGGCAGCTTCCCTGGGAACACATTCCTGGAAACCGCTCTGTCTGGTTTCCCCCACTGTCTTACTGTACATCTTCCCTACACCCAACTTGATAACAGGCGCTCATGTAGCTGGGACCTAGGGACAAGCCATAGAAAGAAGATATTTAACCATTTCACCTCCAGATACCTTAGTACCATTTAGGAACTTCCAAAGTATCTTAATACACCAGTAAAAATGTGTGGGTATAGCTGCAACAATTGATATATATAGCCATAGAAAAAAACTGAAGTGAGGCTACCTGTCTGAAATACTTCTAAGCCAAATAGGTGGCATTGGTGTAACCCAAAGCCTACTGAAGCAGATGAAAGACACTAAGGGGCTCCTTCAGTGCCAGTGTTTCTCTGCAGTTAAATGATACATTCACTTTTTATATAAAAATAATAAATGCACATCTTTTTGCAGGAAAAAAAAAAAAAAGAAAAAAGGGAGGTGCATTTTTAATTTTTTTACACTGCAAGCATTGCATCTGTGATCAGCAGATCAGAGGTGCAATGCTAGGATCCTGCGAGATGTTCAGTCAGCTATCTGCCTGTGACTCATACAGATAGACAATTACTGAATGGCAGGAAGACTCAATGAACTACAAGAGCGCTCACCAGGACCCTTGCAGTTTGTTGAGAACTACAAGTCTTAAGCTGCAGCGACAGGGCCACACTGCTTTCAAATTATTACAGTGGGTGTAGGGAGAAGATCCCCACCCGCTGTCACTGGGAGGAGATCGGAGGAGAGGGGAAGAGGAGGTAGGACCTGGAACATGTTATGTTTCACCCTAAATACCAGTGGAACATGTTACATGTTCCAAAGGTAAAGTTAACCTTTAATGAATGTGCACCAAGCCAGGTATAGTATATGCATAGTTACATTAGTCCAAGCTGGACCAATGTAACTATGTAAAATATACCATACCTGGAATTAATCTGGAATGTTTGAAGATTTTTCATTAGGTATATTTTCCCATGAATTAAATAGCAGCAAACATAATTTATGTACACTGTATACAGTATGTATGTTTTTAATTCAATACATTTAAAACATATATTTATAACGCAGAGACAAGTTATCCTGCATTACCTGTGTCTCATGATTCCAAACACAAACACTGCCATTGTACAGGCTGGCCAGCATCCATGGCTCTGTTGGATGTAAATCAACACTTTTCACTCGGTCAGACCGAGCGGTGAGCTTCCTCTTGATATCAAGTCGCAGAGGCTGTACACAAAAAATTAAAACACAGTGTTAGTAATACAAAACACCTTCCATTGCTGTATTTATATATTTTCTATAAATCTCATGTCTACCAGATGAGGAGTGGGAGTATTAGGGTATAATGCAAAACAACTCATGCAGGTTGCAGCTATAAAGTGCCAGAGAACTGTATAACTAATGACAGCCACTGCAAATGTTTAAAGGATACATTCACCTTTGGGAACATGTTACATGTTCCACCCATTTTTAGGATGTAACATGTTCCCATACAGTGGTGTATTTAGGTTTTGTGCTGCCCTAGGCAACACAAAAATCGGCTCCCCCCCACGGAGGGACCCTGACACCGACCAACACCCCCCTCCCCCACAAACAGAGCCTGGTATTGACCAACACCACCCCATCTCCACCTGAGAGAGCCTTCCTCTACCACCGCTCCCAATACACTGGCCACCCCACCCCGGCGAGAGGGAGAAGACACTCACATTCACAGCTCTGGATATCCCAGGGAACAAGAGTCGGGCTCTGCATACACCATCAAGCAACCCGCAGCCTCTCTTAGATCCCTTCTTCCATCCCTTCTTCCGGAGGGCCATGCTGCCCCCTGAAAAATGCCCTAGGCAAATGCCTTGTGGTAAAATACACCCCTGTTCCCATAGCTGCCCCGCCTCCCTCTGACAGAGTACAGGGAGAAGTCTCCCCGTACTATCTGTCAAATTTGAAAACAGATGCACACGGCCGCATCATTCATTCACAGACTTCCATGAATGAATGAACTGCAAGTCCTGGTGGCCTTAGTGGCTGTTGGCTTGTAGTTTTCAATGAGCTACCACAGCGCTCCACAGCTTATTGAAGCTGTCAGAATATCTGCTTGACTGTACATCCCGTACGGCAAGCAGATATTCTGACAGGTCTGTAGGAAACCTGAGTGGCAACAGCGCTCTACTGATCGATGGTGCAATGCTTTCCTGGCTCCTGTAGACAAATATAATAAATGCAAATTTTTTTACCTGCAAAAAAATGTGCATTTATTATTTTTGTCTAAAAGGTGAACATATCCTTGTCAGGCAGCGGCTCACTTTATTCATCCTGCCAGTGGGCTGCAATTCGGTGGATGCTTCAGAACTGCTTCCATCTACCGGGAGGAGAGGCACAAGAAGGGCGGTGTTTTTTTATGAACCAGTGTACACATGGAAAATATGAGTGTATTGATTTTTATGGTGCTGTGTCAATGAAACGTACTACACTAGGGGGTGGGCTCTCTTTTTGTTTTTATGTTCATAGTGTTCAGGTCACCTGGGGAAGTTGTGAGAGCTGCATCAATAAGTGTCACTTTGAAAGTCATTTACTGAACTTATTGGGGGTTAATGGTGAAAAGCGCACCAGCTGGAGGTTTTGTCCTATGAGTGTTGGTGTGTACGTTAATAGCACTTTAACCTCCCTGGCAGTATGATTATTTCAGATTTTTGGTGCTGAAAGCGGTACTTTTATTTTGCATGGAAATTTGGCGTTTTATATTGTAGGCCTGTCATTTTTAGGAATAACTCACTGAAATCTGTCCGAACAAGAGTCTATTAAACATCCCGGGTAGGATAAAACTTGAAACACAAAATCATAAATTATAATTTAATAAATAATCATAAAAAATAATAATAATAATAATAATAATAAATTTAATTCAATAATATAATCAAACCAAAAACACTGAAATTTGAAATATAGTGCCAAGTTCACACATCACTGAGCAAAGTCGCACTATCGTTTTCAGTGTCTGATGACGAATTTCCCACAAATCATTATCACTCAATTCTGCAAGTGGTTCTAATTTACTATCGCTGTATCAGCCGGTCTAAAACCGCTTTTGACCTAAAGTGACGCTTTTTGGACGCCATGTACGTTTCTCAGTTTCCAGGCAGAAAGAACAGTAAAAATGCAGGCAGGGCACAGGACAAAGCAGTAAAGACAAAATGTATGTGAAATGCTTTGAAACAGTAATGTTTTACTACGTCATATTCGTTTATTAGAAAATGACAGTTTCTAAAATTTTTAAATTTGCCGCCGGTTCCAGCCGGGACCGGAGGAGATGGCCGGGGACGCTGCAGGGGATGCATCGTGGGAGCGAAGGACAAGGTAAGAGCTGCAGGGACTCCCTGAGCAACGCCGAACGGTAAGCCCGACTGTAGCTTGGGGATACACTTGCGGTACTGAAATTTTACTACCGAGCTACACTCGGGAATACCGCCAGGGAGGTTAAAGGTGCTTACAGACGCAAGATTGTATCCACCAATCAATTATTGTAGAAATGTGAACATCCATCTGCTGATAGCAGGTAGCTGCCATAAGGGAAATCACCATCAGGTAACAGAACATCTGTATTCTATGTAATAAAGGGTGGACAGGAGTCACATGATCAGTGCACACTGTGACTGAAATCTACACACCACACCCTTCACAATACCATTATACACTGCTCAAAAAGATTAAAGGAACAATTTTTAATCAGAATATAGCATCAAGTCAATTAAATTGCTGGGATATTGATCTAATCAGTTAAGCAGCAGAGGGGGTTGGTAATCAGTTTCAGCTGCTTTGGTGTTAATGAAATTAACAACAGGTGCACTATATGGGAAACAATGAGACGACTCCCAAAACAGGAATGGTTTTACAGGTGGAGGCCACAGACATTTTTTTCCCTACTCTTTTCTGACTGTTTTTCACTAGTTTTGCATTTAGCTAGGGTCAGTGTCACTACTGGTAGCATGAGGCGATACCTGGACCCTACAGAGGTTACACAGGCAGTCCAACTCCTCCAGGATGGCATATCAATACATGCCATTGCCCAGAAGGTTTGCTGTGTCAGCACAGTCTCAAGAGCATGGAGGAGATTCCAGGAGACAGGCAGTTACTCTAGGAGAGCTGGACAGGGCCATAGAAGGTCCTTAACCAATCAGCAGGACCAGTATCTGCTCCTTTGTACAAGGATTAACAATATGAACACTGCCAGAGCCTGACAAATTGACCTCCAGCAAACCATTGGTGTGAATGCCTCTGACCAAGCAATCAGAAACAAACTTCATGAGGATGGCCTGAGGGCCTGATGTCCTCTAGTGGGCCCTGTGCTCACTGCCCGGCACCATAGAACTCGATTGGCATTTGCCATTGAACACCAGAATTGGTAGGTCAGCCACCGATGCCCCGTGCTTTTCACAGATGAGAGCAGGTTCACCCTGAGCACAGGTGACAGACTTGAAAGGGTTTTGAGAAGCCGTGGAGACCGTTCTGCTGCCTGTAACATTGTTCAGCATGACTGTTTTGGTGGTGGGTCAGTGATGGTCTGGGGGAGACATATCCATGGAGGGATGCACAGACCTCTACAGACTAGACAATGGCACCCTGACTGCCATTAGGTATTGGGATGAAATCCTTGGATCCATTGTCAGAACTTACGCTAGTGCAGTGGGTCCTGGGTTTCTCCTGGTGCACGACAATGCCCGGCCTCATGTGGCGAGAGTATGCAGGCAGTTCCTGGGGGATGAAGGAATTGATTCCACTGAATGGCCCCCACACTTGCCTGACCGAAATCCCAGAGACCACCTCTGGGATATCACGCTTCGGTTCATCCAACGTCACCAGGTTGCACCTCAGACTGTCCAGGAGCTCAGTGATGCCCTGGTCCAGATCTGGGAGGAAATACCCCAGGGCACCATCCATCGTCTCATTAGGATCATGCCCCGACGTTGTCAGGCATGCATACAAGCACATGGGGGCCATACAGACTACTGAGAACCATTTTAGACCATTGTGAGTTGCTGCAATGACATTTCAGCAAAGTGGACTAGCCTGCTGCATCATTTTTTCACTTTGATTTTCGGGGTGTCTGTGAATTCAGTCCTCTGTAGGTTGAGAATTTTCATTTCCATCAAACGATGGGCCATCCTTACAGATCACCCAGTCCATATCAGTATAGATATCCAGCATGAGATTTTTTTCCCCATTGAGATCTGATGTGTTTTCAAAGTGTTCCTTTCATTTTTTTTGAGCAGTGTGTATGCAGACTACACCACCCCCACACCTAGTCTGTCACTGACCCCCATGACACCCGGGTAATCCCCCCTGTAGAGATGTCAGGCCATGGGACGCTGCATTCTATGCACTACATATAGAACTCCATGTCCCACACTCCCAGTGCTGGTATTGGAGGTCAGGCCACGTCCCCAGTACAGGAGTCTGCGATGTAGTCGTGTTGGTGCCCGGGTACTACAGTCTGCTCAGTCGGTACACTCACCATGTCTCCGGGTCCTCCTGCTCTCTCTCTGCTGACTGACGTGGAGCTTCCGGGAGCCCGGGCCGATCTCGCGAACTCCCAACCCTTCCACTTCCGGTCGGTTATTAGAGTCGGGGATGTGTGGCCGCCACCTTGTGGCTGGCGAGAGTCAGAAATCCGTGACGTGGCTGGAGTAATGCGGAAGAGCAGCCATGCTGTGATTGGCGGATGTCCGGGGATGACTATTTCCAGCCTTAGGGGACGTGCCTGGCTGACAAGCGCGTTCTTAACATCTCATGCGCGCTCTCGTCAGCGGCGCTCCTTCCCCTTCCTGTGAACGTTGTGTGACTTCCGCTCCCGGAGTGCTCCGCGCCGCATCATGGACCATAGCGGTGAGTATCGGGGGGACAGTGGGCCGGGCTTCTCATTGCACCCCCGTGTGCCGGTCCCGCTGGGTGTATCATGGTGCCCCGTCTGACCATGACACCCACCCTGTCTCCGCCATGGTGGGCCGCCTTTACTGCTCCTCTTTCTGCTTCATGATACTCGGACGGAGCCTGAGGCCTGGGCCCACCAGCTTCCTCATCAGGGTGACAGTGCACGGCCTTTCTCCATCACTGATCAGACCGTACTCTGTCAGTGTCTGGCCAGTCAACTTCCATCCTCCTTGTCAGTGCTGTACCACGCCTTCTTCCATCACTGATCGGCCATTCCCTGGATTCCTGCTTCCCGTTCTTCCATCGTGGTCATATTCTGCCCCAAAGGCTTCTTCCTTTTCATTCTTCCATCTTAATCTTCTTCCACCCCAAGTCGTCTTCCTTCCCTTTCTTTCATGTTGGGCTTCTTCCTTTTTAATCTTCCATATCGGTCTTTTTGTGTCCCACGGTCTTCTTCCGTCACGGTCTTCTTCCGTCACGGTCTTCTTCCGTCACGGTCTTCTTCCGTCACGGTCTTCTTCCGTCCCGCTCTTCCGTCACGGTCTTCTTCCTTCCCGCTCTTCCTCCGTCACGGTCTTCTTCCTTCCCGCTCTTCCTCCTTCTTCCGCTCTTCCTCCGTCACGGTCTTCTTCCTTCCCGCTCTTCCTCCTTCTTCCCGCTCTTCCTCCTTCCCGCTCTTCCTCCTTCCCCCGCTCTTCCTCCTTCCCGCTCTTCCTCCTTCGCGGTCTTCTTCCGTCGCGGTCTTCTTCCTTCCCGCTCTTCCGTCGCGGTCTTCTTCTTCCTTTCCGCTCTCCCGTCGCGGTCGTCTTCTTCTTCCTTTTCCGCTCTCCCGTCGCGGTCGTCTTCTTCCTTTCCGCTCTCCCGTCGCGGTCTTCTTCTTCCTTTCCGCTCTCCCGTCGCGGTCTTCTTCTTCCTTTCCGCTCTCCCGTCGCGGTCTTCTTCTTCCTTTCCGCTCTCCCGTCGCGGTCTTCTTCTTCCTTTCCGCTCTCCCGTCGCGGTCTTCTTCTTCCTTTCCGCTCTCCCGTCGCGGTCTTCTTCCATCCCAAAGTCTCACTTTGTTAGTGTTTGACCAATCCCTGTCATTGCATTCTTCGTGTTGTGTTCAGCCAGACACCTGATTCCATCCTGGTCCTTTTCCATCCTTGCTTTGGTCAAATAAATAAAAATGTCAAACGTTAGTTGTTGGTGTTTTTGGTCTGAAAGAATGTTGTCCACCTTTAGTGAATCTGTTTTGTTTTTCTAATTATGCATAGTATCTTGTCTAAGGTGCCAAAATTCCACCAAAAACTGTTCTATATCCATACAATGGTTTGTTGCAATGCACCATGGTGATCATCACGCAACATGCAGATTTCCATTCCATTAACACTAAGGTCCTATTCATACTCGTAAATGGGTCTGTCTGTAATCATTTGCGAGCGATTGGCTGTGGACACAAGCAGTGTATCCATGGCTGATCACTTGCATGTAATTGCTCCATGAGTGATTACATGCTAGTGGCTGCAATTTGCTGCAGGAGCTGTCAGCCATCTTTCAATGGGGCTGTCAGCCATCTTTCAATGGGGCTGTCCTACAGCTAATCGCCAGTGACCCCTGAAGGGGTTCCCACATATGATCACTCATGGGCCTCATTCACAAGTGTGAATGAGACTATTAACTAGATGGTAAAAATTAAATGTCCAGAGGGGTATCATTATAAACACTAATAAAGTGGACGTAAAGGCTGAAAGTTTTTTACTTTAATGTTTTATCTGCATTAAGGTAGAAAAACCTTTTATTGTCAGAGGGTCAGGGCTGCTCTGTGCAAAGCCATTGCACAGAGCAGGTAAGTATGAAATGTTTATTATTTAAAAAAAAAAAACAAACTTTACGATCACTTTAAAGTTCTTGTAACCCTGCATCTAATTTGTCATTTATATCCTATTGTAGACAATGATTTACAAGGGACAAACAGTATGGGATCCTTGAGTGGATTGGATGTCAGACGGCGAATTCCAATTAAACTCATTTCAAAACATCCAAATAAAAGTAAACTCTCCCCTCGACCCCAAAGAAATATGAGCAGAATCCCTGCCAAGTCTCAGCAAGGTGAAGAAGGTATATTGTATTATGCTTTAGTATTTGTTTTCTTTCTGCAGTACACATTCTGTTAGGTGAATAGTTTTGTTTTTATTTGCAAGTTCCTCAAGGGCTCATTTACACTATGTGTGGTGACCAGTGTTTTCCGCACTGGACAAATACAGATCAACACTAGGGCACATAGAAAACAATACGCCCTGTTCATGCCACAATGCTGGTGTGATGTGCAGAGTGAAAAAAATGAAGTGTTCACTGCAAACAAAATAACCCACAACTGCCTGCATGGTATAACGCTGCTTTTTACCATGCCGTCTGGCGTGAACCTAGCCCATGGGTAGGCAACCTGCGGCTCTCCAGCTGTTGCAGGACTACAAGTTCCATCATGCCTCTGCAAGTCATAGCTGTGACTGTCCGTTTTGTAATGTTGCAATGCCTCATGGAAAATTTAGTTCCACAACAGCTAGAGAGCCGCAGGTTGCCTACCTCTGACCTAGCCTAACACTGAAAAATGAAGGCTGTTTCTATGTTTTACAAAGATAGGATCTGTTTTGCTAAGCAGGTTTGGAGGGAATGTGGTGGTACTGTCCACTGAAATAGATTTCTGGCTTTCTTTTGCAAATGTGTCTCATGGTTGGTTGCAGTTAGCACTGCCTTAGAAAATAAAACCTACAGTTTGACTCCTGAGTAACAGAAGGGTTTTTACATTCCCGTAGCAGAGCTGGGGCTTGCTATACAAGTTACAACCAACCTTACCATACAAGTATACAATCAATTTTACATTCGCCCAAACTATGTAATACGAGGTCCTACCTAACCTAAACTACCCAATCTGTGTCCAATCAGGCAATCCCTTGCACTAGATGCTTGTTAGTAGATTTAAAGATTGTACAATCAGACTGTGACATCTATGGTGAGCATAAAACAGTGCTTGTCTGATCTATCATAGGAACTGTCTTTAGTGTCAGAGGTCTTTAATACACAGTAATGATTTTCCGTGCTGTGTTTATTTGATACAGTCATTCATTTATATCTTAAGTGAGGCTAAAACTCTGGACAGAAATGTTTATTTTTATAAGGTCATTTCTCTACGTTTTGTGCAGTTAGTTCTTCTTTTGGTACAGTTAACCATCCTCTGAGTAATCCCAAGTTGAATGATTCCTGATTAGTTCTCAGACTCAGTTTCATTTTTGGTGTGACTAGTAGCCATTATGGCTGCTATTCCCCTGGCCATATATTGCTTACAATCCTCATTAGTTTGAGCAGCAGTGTAATTACATTGCCACTTGCTCTTTTGGATGACTTGGGTGTCTGACTCCTCGGCTGACCCACCCACTTACTATGCATCAGTTGGTTGACAGACCTGGAGACTGCTGCTCTGTCCCACACACCCAACGTTTTAGCTCATCACAGGTTACAGTCTGATTTATACCGTCTCCTTTAGCTGTCCATAGATGACCAGTTTAGTTTTAATTTAAAAGAATGAAAGGTTTCCTCCATCCACACTATCGAGGTAGATAGAGTGGAAGGGATTCCTCTGAGATTGTATTCTGACAGCAGGACTCAGCGTTGTCAGTATACACTGAACAGCAGCTGCAGCCAGTTGACTTCATCTGCCCAACTCTCCACCTTAGCCAATCAGAATAAGCCTTGTATTCATTGATAAAATACAAAGCTTCCTGTGAATAGCTGAACAGTGTTCGGCCTGACTCAATTTTGTTCCAAGAGTGGGACGGGAAGCCCCTGTACTGTTGCTGGAACCCAGCACTGTATACTGCATGTAACTGATGCTACATACAGTTTAGACAGCGCTCCCAGTGGCCTCATGTATTACCCCTGGTTCACATCTGTGCAGGTGGTGCCACTATGGGACCCACACAAATACCTGCAGCCGCACCACCCACACAGAGGAATGCGGGACCCACAGGCGGGTGCCATTAATTCTAATGGCATGCCTCCAGCACTGGAAACTGCAATTGTACGGGAACCTCGGTTCCCCTGCAGGCTGTGATTTCCCAAGTAGTGGAGAGACTTCTTCCCTGTGTGTCCTGTGGTAGGGGAGTCCATGCAAATGAATGGGCTTTCGTGCCCGAGCAAATCGTGGTCCGCACGACCGCACAGGTGTGAACCAGGGGGGTTAGTGACTTGTACCAGCTTGGTCCAAACAAACTGTTTAAAGTTGAATCAAACCCGAAGTTAGGCTTTATTTTTCTTGCTGTTAATTGTGACATGGTGTGTGATAGCACTTTGTAAACTCCACCTTTCATGGTAAAACAAATCTATAATATATATATATTTTTTTTTTTTTTTTTTTTTTTGTCTCGAAGGTTTTGATTATAATGAAGAAGAAAGATATGAAAATAAAGCCAGTGACATGTTTGGCAATCAGAGGAGATTTCCAGCACACATATTTTGGGATTTTAAGGTACAGTGTCATTGTAAAAATGTTGTTCTAAGGAATAATGATTTCCATATTTATATTCTACTTTGGGGACGGGTTTGAAAACAACTTGGCTTATGCATCCTTGAAACGCATTACTGTACTAACACTTTAAAATGCTTTCTCCCACAATCCAAGAAGTATAAAACTATTGTTTATAGGTGATGTGACTATATCACTGCTGTTTCTTACACGTAGTACATATATGTAGTGTATATATACATGATTTTGCATTTCCGGGTAGGAGGCGGGTGCGCCCTACTCCCCGCCGCTATTTGTGGTCGCGGCTGTCAATCACCTGGTCCTGACTGGTGATTGCCGAGCGTCTCCAACCCCGAGGGGGACGGGGACTGTTTGCAAACAAAACAGTTCTTTCACCTATCAGCTCCTACACACTGCTTTATGCACAGCCATGCAAAGCAGTGTGCTTATAGTGAAGCACAAATATACACAGCCCCACAGTAAAACATACACAGCACACAGTTAACCCTTTGATCTACGCACATGTTAACCCCTTCCTGCCCAGATCCATTAGTACAGTGTCAGTGCTTTTTATTAGCACTGATCACTGTATTGGTGCCACTGGTGATTTCAGTGACACCAAGTCATTACCCCCCCAGTGTCAGAATGCCCCGCCATGATCGCTCATGAGCCCTGTGGCTGTGTCCATAGACAGACAGCGGGACTTGGCCCTGCTCCTTTGTTACTGGCTTTGACAGCTCATGGCTCCCAGTGCCTCAGCAAAGCCACTGTGACAAGTAAGTGAGGGGAGAAAAGAGCTGCAGATGTGCACAGCGCTGGATCAAATGAGGGCTTAGGTAAGTAAAAGGAGAGGGTGAGGAATCATAATGGATGCCTATATTTTTTAACTTTTAAAGCAAGGAATGCATTAAGGTTAAAAAAATGATTAGGCTTTAGAACCACTTTAAGTCCAGAAACTTTCCAGAATCTACTTTAGGCTCAGGGAAGCCATTATTTGTGTAAAGCATGATTCCTGATTTCCTCTCTGCCTTCACATGCTTCTATTTGGGTAAACATTTAATTCTTCTTTTCTTAGCTAAACCTTATCGGAGAAAAGGATGATACTCCTGTCCATTTCTGTGACAAATGTGGCTTGCCTATCAAGATATATGGGCGCATGGTAAGTAATAGTTTTAATGGAGCACACTTATGACTAGAAATGGAAGTTCCGGCTATGCAAACCTCTAGATAATGCATATAAAAGTATGGTGTGATGAGAACATTGCGTAACTCCAAAAAATTATAGTTTAGTCAGTATTTATGAAGTGCATAGCATGCTCCTGGTTATATATGTTTCTAGTTAAGAAAAACCCCTACATATGCTTTTGGCACTTTAAGAGTCCATGCACACTAGGCTTAAAAAAAACACTGCTTTGCCTGTAGAAGCAGCTTAATGTTTTCTTATGTGTTCATGCACATTAGGACATTCAGCCCTGGTTCACACTGATGTGGTGCGGAATTCGCAGCGTTGTCAATGCGATTTTCGCACCACATCAGAATCGCACCCCGTTAATGCGAACCGCTGCGGGTGTGTATGTTGCGTTACCACCGTGAAAGTGGTTCGCAAAACGCGGTGCGATGTGCAGAATCAGATCGCATAGGTGTGAATACCTATGCGATCTGATTCTAGTGCAACCCAAAAAAGGGTCCTGCACATTTTTGGTGCAGGTGCGTTGTGAATAGAGCCATACAAAATGTATGGCTCCAATCACACCGCACGCAAAACGCATGTGATTTGCACAGTAATGCGGTGCAGTTCCTGTGTGAATCACATGTAATATACCACACCGTACATATGTGAACCCAGGCTCAGAGGCGTATTTTAAGCACAGTGTTTAGAGGGAGGTAAAAAACCCTTCTTTTCTGAATTTTTGAGAGGAGATGTCTGGCAGAAAAAAAAACGCTAAAAGCTCCTGAATTGAAGGACTGTACAAAAACGTGTCGTACAGTTGTGGGGGTTTTTTTTTTTTTTTTTTTTTTTTTTTTAAGCTCAGTGTGCATGGTCTGTAGTTCGTGAACTTTGTGAAAGTGCTAATGCCAAAACAATTTTTATTCTATGTACAGATTCCTTGCAAGCACGTTTTCTGCTATGACTGTGCTCTGTTGCATGAGAAAAAGGCAGATAAGCTGTGCCCAGGGTAAGTCATCTTCATACATTTAAGTTTTAATATATTTGATATTTTTTATAGATCCACTTAATTTATCAACCTCCCTCCCATTGATGTCTTGACATTGATTGTAGAAATCATATAGAGGTGTTTGCCATTTGTCTTTATATCACACATTCAGCATCTATTGTCCCTTTTTATTTGCAGTAAATATCAATCTTTAAGTATCTTCCTCTATTTTATTTCTGTTGCTTTAGGCATGTCATGACTTATATCCAGTTCCCAAATATAAATTCATAGGTGTAATTGTTTCTTTACTACTATATTTAGTACTGTGCCCCACATTTTGTTTTTTGTTCTGCCACTTTTAATAGTGGATCCTAAACAATGTGTGTGTATCATTTTCTTTTTATTTTATTTTGTCATGTAATGTCTCTTTTTCCCCTTCCCAAAAGAACACTTGTTGAAGAAAGTACTGACACCTATAAACGTGTGAGGTAGGTTTTCAATAGTATAGTGATTTTCTTAAGGTCACAGGGTTTGTGGTGGAAATTTTTGCATTTTCTCTAAATGATGTGTGACAAGGGCTATACTACAAGAACGGTTTACTCAGAGTAGATGTAATCTTTCTTTGGGAGGTAATTTTATTATTGCAACCAGATATTTTTCATCCCACTTTTATTGAGTGTGAATGAATATCATTCAGCAGTGGACATCTGTTTTGCCCTATACATGGGTTGACTTCTGACAGATTATATGTAGCCTACTTATCCAGTTTGTGGTTACCCTGAGTCTCACTGGAATCACTTGTTACTGCATGCATATTTGCATGTGAAAATCCAGTGTTTATTTTTTATGGCAATATCTCACCACAGAAACTCCTCTGTGAAAAGCCTCATATGTCTAAATGCTGCTCTGATTAAACATGTTCTTAAGATTCTTATTTAATGCATATGTTGATGTTAAAACTGAAATCAAGGTTTTGTTATGTTATGTAAAATTGAACTAATGTGATAAAATGCTATGACTACTATTTTTAATTTTATGCTAAAAGTTAGTATATGTAAAACTTTTTGAAAGTGTGGAAGAGTTAAAAAAAACCCACAAACTTACATTTTTTTTTTAATTTATATTGCTGTCCCTGTATCTGCACTGGGTAGTTTTTTCTCTTTCTCTAATTGCACTGTTGACCATTGTAATGAGGACGGCAAGTTATGAGAAATCTATCATCTTGTGGTTGTCACCAGCAGAACTATAGGCAAACTTTTTTTTTTTTTTTTTTTTTTTTTTTTTAACATTTTAGATAGAATAAGAGAGGGTTATAACCCGTCAGAATTTTTTTTTTTCTATGTGTTCCATTGGGGAGATTTCCCTTCACTTCCTGTCCCATAGCTAGAGCAGGAAATGAGAAATCCCTCCAAATTGAGGGCAGTCCTGGTTGTCATCAGAACTGGTATCCCCATTAAAAGATATCCTCTCTGTTGCTGTTTTGGAAAAACCCAAAATTTGGGATTTTTTTTTTACTTTCACTTTTGGTGATAACCGTAAACATGACAAGATATGATAGAGAGGAGATCTCCCTTATGGGCTCAGAAAGCAATAAAATCCTGCAAGGTGTTTGAATTACTCTCCACTCTATCAAAATTAAAAAACAAAAAGTTGGGTGCAAGGTTCAGTCCAATAATGCAGTTACCTCTCAAAGGTTTAGGAAACATTCCCACAGTTTCCTTACCACTTTTTCCCCCCCAAGCAAACCACACCATCATCACCCCTCCTTCACCCCACTATACTTACTAGACCACCAGTACCCATTGCATGTCCTTGCAGTTCAGCTCATAGACTTCTATAGTAGACAAATAGTAGCTGATCTGCCTACCAGTCCCACAAAATGGTATGGGAGCTTTGTGGAAACTTCTCCTTACTCTTTATAGTTGAAAAATACTCAGATGTTTGAAAGCCAGGTTAGCAGTATTGGTGGGCTACGTACTGTAATAAGAGCTTGAATTAATTATATTTGGTGGAGAAAAATGTGCTCGAGGCTCAGTCAGATTTGTAATTTTTTTTTTTTTTTTTCTCCAGCAGAGCTCATTTGAGCAAAATTATTTAGGTTATGGGTACCATATCGGAGGGTGCTTGAGCCAATATTTCTACAGTGAGGTTTATTGTAACCCTTGTGTTTCTATTTATTCATCCCAGCAAGTAGTTATCTTGGTTTGAAGTTAACATTTGGTCATAGATCAACTTTTTATCAGTACCTGACAGGTTGACCTGTATTGCAGTGCATTGTCTTTTTTTGCCGATCTGCCTCTTTTCAAATTGACCTGCTGAGAGTTCAACACGGCATAGATGGATTTTATTGCAAATTTGCACATCATAAGGATTTTTTGTGCCATTTAATTTAATTGTTTTTAATTAAAATGTAATTTTCTTTCTCATCCATTGAAGGACACAGGATGGTTTGTACTGTCAGGTTATAATGCTGCCCACAAGAGGGTTGAATACTGCCACAAAAAAAAACAAATTGTAAGCCAGCCCAAGATAACCCACCCTCCTACTCCCACCATGCTTCCACTTTTGCAAGTGTCCTAGGAGGATACAGTAGATGTCTTTTATTCAGAGAAAAATCTAAACTTTTTTCTAGCTTTTTTTTTTTCCTTTTCAAGACTCTTGCCACATTACTGCTGAATTTGTCTTTAAATGCAGCTATCTGCATTGGCCTTTCCTCAGCTTGACTTTGTGCTGAAACAGCCATTGTGGGTACTGGGTTCCGTTTGTGACACTTTCCAGACCTTTGTGTACTAGTAAAGGTTAACCTTTACTGAAGTGCTTTTCAAGTTCAGAGCCATTGCCTTAGCGCTTGCCCTTTTATTTAAAAACTGACTTTGTAAGTAGGCTGTTCAGGCCTAGCACAAGAAGCTACCTTGACTCTAAATATGAGATTTTTTGCTTTCCGTCGGCCTTAAAGCAGAAGGAGTTAATGATGAGGGATTGTTCTCTGGCATCATTCTTTGGGTGGAGTATTGCCTGTACTCTCCTGCCAGTCAGTGCTGAAGTACTGCCAGGCATAACATTGCCTTCTCTGCTTTGTCCAGGGATGATTTTGCTGCAGTCATGCAGCATTTTATGAACCACATAGCATTAACTAGTGCATTTTGGCCGCAGAAGCCTTTGTGATCGACCTGTGGCCTTTGAGCCCTCTGATGCCGGGTCTCTCCAGTACTTGATGGCTGATCCTGCATCTAAGGACTTTTATTAATGCGGTATGCACCACTTTAAAACCTGAGGAAGAGCCTGAAGCCTCCACCAGGAGATTCCTTTAATGCCAGTTCACATATATGCGATTTGAACTGCATCCAATCCACATGACGTGAAAAAACATTGCTTTCGATGGTGCCTGTTCACATATGTCCGGTGCACTGGTGGTGCGGAATCAGTGCATTTTGAGAGAGTAGTGTACGATTTCTGAACAATGCCTTCATTGCAGATTACGGGCTATTAACTTCTATGGAAACCGTTTCTAAACCACATATGTGTGAACAGGAGACGATCCTGAGCTATTCCTATCCTGAACCTGATGTAAACCTGACATTAACCTCTGAACAACTACTGTATCAATTAGCTGTGAAACCTGAGCTTCAATCTGCACCGAACATGTGTGAATCAGCTCTTGGGGCTGCTAAGACCACCAAGACCTTTCTAGTGCACCCACTGTTCCCAGTCTTTTTATTTTATAAAGACTGGAAACACCATGACAAGATCTTTTTATTATCCAAGTATCTGCCAGCCTTGTACACATTTGAGGAGAATTTCACTAAAGTGGCCAACTCTTCTGAGAGGCCAGCAGTATGAAAAAATGGCTAGTGGTCTATTCTAGAACTCCTGTTCTCTCTTTCAGGTCCTGTACATCAACCTGTCCTGGTTGTGACCTTGATCTGTCAAACCCTGATTGACTCATCTAAGGCTATTAGATGGGACCTAATTAGTATGAAGGTTGATCCCAAAGTCACAGAGATTTAGACCTCATGTTTTGCAGCCTTGAGTATAGAGTGTAGACAGGTTGGGGGAAGTCTCCTAACCTCTCATGTGAGTCTCCTATCAGACAGATGTCAGTCAGGTGTTTTGACATTTTAAAAAAAAATTTCTCTGCATGACCGAGGGACAACACCTTTTAGATCTCCTATCAGGGATACAAGTGGTGACAAGAGTACTTATCCTTTTTCGTGTCTTGAAAAGTTCTTCGTGACCTTAATTCGACTACTGTTTTCCAGGTTTGCTAGGTTGCCACCTTGTTTCTGTTCACACATTGTCCAAGTTTTGCCAGGTGGATTCTCAGGGCTCATGCAATGCCAGCTTTGGGCATAAGGACCTTTTTTAGTTAACTTTTTGAACTACAGATAATCCTCAGTGTGTTTTTGGTGTTTTCTGTTTTTTTAACTGATTTTTGACATTCGGACAGTGCAAAACCTTAGTATCCTTCAGTGAACAAGAAAGAATATATGATTTTTATACTCCCCACAAGATCTTTTTCTTGGAGAGATGCAGGTCCCACCCACCTGTGCGCATGATGATCATGGTACTTTGTACTACCACAAACTGTGGCTTGCTTAGGAGTAGGATGGGTTATCCTGAACTGGCCAACATTTTTTTTTTTTTTTTTTTTGCCAATGTCCAGTTCTCTTGTAGGTGGCAGTATACCCGCAAAAAAACAAGACATTCTGTGTCCTTCAAGAGACTCTAAGAAAAGGATTTTATGATGAGTACAAAAGTTCTGCCGTCCCTGCTATTTGATAATTGCTTAACATGAAGCTTGATCTTTGCAGTAGTTACTGATTATCATTGGTACCATTCTTGAGTTGTGACAGACTAAACGTTACTAATGCTTGTCTAAGACCAAGTCTTTCATATACACACATTTTAAAGTACATACTTTGTTAAATCCGTTTCAGTCAAATACCATGCACAGTTCATATTTGCAGATTTCACATTAGGATTTCCCCAAAGATTGAGTATATGATAGCAATCCTATTTTACATGTCACTCCGGGGTGAACGTCTCATTTTTCAAAGTGAAGGCATCTCTGCTCTTGCATTGTAGCACCTAGCGGACTAACCTGTCCTTAACATTAAATTAGAACTAAAGGAAGGGTTATGACCCCTGTGAGTTTAGGGTTTTTTTTTTTTTTTTGCCATCTGTGTCCTAGGTCAAAATAGGAAATGAGAGGGATTCCCTGATTTGTTACCAGAACTAATGTCCCTATTGGAAGACTTCCCTTCTTTTCTTATTCTGGTGATAATCCAAATATGAGATTTCCTTTAACTTTTCAGTGAACATGGTAAACAGGACAAATAGGGGGATCTAATCCCTGTCCACTCAATCTAGAAAAAAAAGAAGAAAAAAGCATTTAGATATCCCTTAAGACTGTTGTAAAAAAAATCGTAGTCTTGGGCTAAGGCAGTGTTTCTCAACTCCAGTCCTCATGGACCCCCAACAGGTCATGTTTTCAGGATTTCCATTATTTTGCACAGGTGATTTGATCAGTTTCACTGCCTTAGTAATTACCACAGCTGTTTCATCTGAGGGAAATCCTGAAAACATGACCTGTTGGGGGTCCATGAGGACTGGAGTTGAGAAACACTGGGCTAAGGTAACACACCTGAAAAAGAATTTTGATTTTCAGCCTTGTGACTTATACTGAAATCTCTCTGGACCTGATCTGAAAATAACTTCCCCCCCTCCCAAAATAAAGATGCTTCACCTGGTGTATAATCTTCGTGAATTGACCTGTTTATAAATTGCATTAATCCTACCTCCTGTTTGGTGCAGTTTAACTACCAGTTACATTGTTGTGCCACGTAGCTGGTCAGCAAGTGCTCCATTATCTGTTATAGCTCAGGATAGTTATTTGGCTCAAACCGAAAAATCCCAACAATCATTTTGTTTAACTTTGAAGTTTGCTGATCAGTTGCTTGATTCAGATCAAGTCGTTCAGACAGGAAATTAAGAATTGCACAGCTATAGTCTGCAGCACCCAGTGGCCATGAGGAAGGAGCATGTATGTCTAAAGGGATGCTGGAAATGTTCTTCCATATAACACTCACTCTTCAAAGAATATCCAAGGGAGGGTGCTTTGACATTTCCAGGAGCCTAGCAGTCCCTCCCACCAAACTCAGAACAAAGACCAGCATATAGACACAATGATGTCACAAAGGGGAAGGGAAATCTTGAGAACAAAGTGATTTTACTGTAAAAAAAAAAATGAATTACATGGTGACCAAGGGGAGGGGGAAACAAGGGAAGGTATAGTTGTACAATACACTTCATCTTTACTATACAACATTGTTATATCAATCAACAGACACACACACTTTGTGTTATGTATATGTATATGTACATGTTATATGTGTGTGTCTTTAATTCTGTGGAAACCCTTAATAATTTCCAGTTGCAGCCGTCAGCAGTGTGATATTGAGGTCCAGCTAGCTGCTTCTATTTAGGTATCTTTGTTACAGGACTTTGCTTCACAAAATACTATACTGTTCAGCCGATTAGTTATGCTTAGACAATATACGGTCTACAGGCTTCTTTGGGAGTTTACAGTCCAGTGCCAGGGAACCCTGGGAAGTAAAGGACCCATTCGCACTTGTCTGTCTAAAGAAAGAGTAAAGCTAAATTTTAAAAAATGTTGGCAGGCAGTGTTTTGTATGACAGAAGAGGGGCTGCGTAGGTCTATCCTGTCATAGATGCCTCTACCTGTCTGTCAGCATTTTTTCTGTAAGTGTACACTGAGTTGTGCATGCACAGCTCAGTGTACAGTCTTGGTACAATTTTGTGCTGCAACAAAGTAACCAAAATCCTGGTGAAGATGGAAGTTTTTCTTTAAGAGGATCATGGACACTGAATCACTGGAAGGAAGTGCTTTGGTAAGTGTGCCGTTATGTGCAAGCATGCCATGCATACTTATACATTATGGCAAAAAGCTCCTGGGGGACTGAAATTTTGCTTCTGCTCTGATGGTTTACTTCTGCTCTCAGTCAATGGAAATGCATCAAGACACGTAAATGTCAGTTGCATGGATTGGTATTGAAAAACAATGTAAAATACAACAAACATTTTGATGCTTTTTCTTTTTTTTTTTTTTTTTTTTTTTTAAACACGTCTGGCAAAAAATGGACAACTGTAACTGGGTTTTTTTTTATGTTGCGTCTTGAAAAAAAATCAGCACTTAAATTTAGAAATCTGCTCCTAGGTGGCCTCCTTCTGAGAATGCTAGGTCTCTGGCTATCATGGTTTTTTCTGGCTTCAATACTTTAAGGGATAAGTTCATCTTTTGCACAAAAATCATTTTGTTTTTACAGGTAATTATTTTTGGCTGCAGAAGCCTGTAAATCATTGCACCAGTGATCAGCAGATCGCTGATGCCATGCAGGTCTCCTGCAGACCTGGCAGTATATCTGCTTGCCCATATGGGATGTACAAGGAAGCATACACTGACAGGAAGATTCAATTGGCTACCACGGTGCTCCACAGCACCGTGGTAGTTCATTGAGAACTACAAGCCGACAGCTGCTAAGGCTGTTGAGACTTGTAGTTCATTCATACACGGAGCCCCGCACGGCTGCGCTGTTTTTAAATACTGACAGCTAATATGGGGAACTTCTCCCTGCATTTCTGTCATGGGGGGTTATGGGTGAGGGGGCAGCAGCAGTGCAGCATTGGGAATATGTTACATGTTCCACCCAAAAAACAGGTGGAACATGTAACATATTCCCAAAGGTGAACTGATCCTTTAAAGTGCATGACTAGAAGGACAGGTTGGGGGTATACAGATCAGAAGCTTTTCCTTTCGCTTTACTGGCAGCATACGTTTTAAAGGTCAGTAACATAGTATTGAAGCCAGATGCAGCAACATTACTAGTTGCAAAATGAGGTCAGCAGCACCTTAAGTTCTTCTCGTTTTAGGTTTCCTTTAAATTAAATTTGCAGTTGGTAAAAAATGCACGGCACAGAGAAAACATGCAGTATAAGCTAGGTCTTGGTTACCACTGCAAAACACTGTATGTACATCTTTATAATAGTTTGCTATATAATCTTTTTGTTCCCTTTTTACAGTTGCAATGATCCCGTCCAGCGAATCGAGCAGTGTGCCCGGGGAACTCTGTTCATGTGCAGCATTGTGCAAGGATGCAAAAGGACATATTTGTCCCAGAGAGACCTGCAGGCACATATTAACCACCGACATATGAGAGCTGCAAAACCAAATCGTCCACAGCCAGAACCAATCCATCCTCCAATGGCCCCACCTCCTACAGAAATGCCTGATCGTTTTATAATGCCCCCTGATAAGCACCACTTGAGTCATATGCCTCCTAAACAGCACATACTGATGCCCCCACCACCAATTCAGCATGTGCCTCATGAGCATTTTAATCAACAGCATGAAGATATGCGTGCTTCCCCAGCAGATATGTCTATGGCGCCACCTCCTCCTCGCCCAGTTAGTCAAGATGCTTTTCGAATTAATACTAGAACACACAGCAATTTAATAACTGTACCTATTCAAGATGATTCCAATTCTGGGGCCAGAGAAGCTCCTCAGGGACCTGGTCCAGCTCTTCACCATCCTGAGTATCCTGGTCAACCTGTGGTAACGCACCCTCACCATATTATGCCTCCACAGCAACATTATGCTCCTCCCCCTCCACCACCTCCTCCAATTAGTCATCCAATGCAACACCCACCTCAGGCCGCTGGTACACCTCATATGGTATACAGTCAAGGACCCCCACCACCTTTGACGACGGCTCCTCCACCAATCACTCCTCCACCTGGACATATAATAGCGCAGATGCCACCCTACATGAATCATCCACCACCAGGACCTCCACCACCCCAACATGGTGGTCCACCTGTAAATGCCCCTCCTCCACATCATTACAATCCTAACACTTTGCCACAGTTTAACGAAGAGCAAGGAACTCTCAGCCCACCTTTCACACAACCTGGGGGCATGAGTCCAGGTATATGGCCTGCACCTAGAGGACCACCACCACCTCCACGAATGCAGGGTCCTCCGACCCAAGCACCTATTCCTGGACCTCATCATCCTGATCAGGCTCGGTACAGGCCATATTATCAATGATTTGTGTATACTGAACTTGCTTGATTTATTTTAATGCCTAATTTGAGAACTTGCGTGAAAAAGTCTAGAGACTTTGTATCTTTGTTGAGGGTTCTTGTGCATACCTTATTACATTCGATATTCTCCTATTCCCAATTATGCCACTGTGCATATATTATACAAAGTGATGATTTTTTTTTGTGTGTGTTCTCATTGCATAGCACTAACAAGTTTTGTCTTTTTACCACTTTGCTTCCAAGTCTTACTTTTCTGTTACAGCACATGATTAGGTATCATTTGTGATGCTTTTATGAATGTATGTTTAGATGTACAGTTGTATCCCTTGCTCTCTAAGGTAGTGTGAATAATATGCAGTTATAACTGCTATATTGTAGCCTGGTATTTTTACCAGTGGTCAAATAAAAACTGTTCCCACAAGCTACTGAGCTTTCCTGCACATTTGTTTTCAGTGTAATCTAAACAAACTATTTACTTTTTATGTATATATTGATTTTGAGAATAATTCTAATGATAAAAGTAAAACATTTTACTTGTTTAAAAGACAAAAAAACCCCAAAAGAATACAAGTTAATTGTAAAAGGTGTGTATGTGTTTTATTTATTTATATTTTGTTCTTTTATTGTGCCAGAAATTTTGTTAATGTATGTTATGATTAAGGGAATTGACAAAGAATGGTGCTTAGTTGTGCCAAGAACAGTCCCTTACTTCTATGACAAATAATCCCAGATTCACATACATGGTACAGAATCTGGCACAAAATGAGTCAAACATAAAATGAGAATATTTACTAGTAAAATAGTCTTTTTACAAAACTGGTTTATAATTTCTGTTGTCAGGAGAAATTAAAGTGACACTAAACTCCTGGTTTAAAAAAATATTCAGGTATGTGTTTTGACTCAAATACCTTCCATTGGTCTTGTTTTCCTCCAAATTCCTCTTTTTTTTTTTTTCCTCCTGAAGTGGTCCAGATTTCTGTTAGAGGATGCCTACATTTGTTGTCAATGGTCTCGTTTTGTGTAGGCATATATCCACCCTCTCTTGCTCACTTCATGGACTATGTAGCATGGGATGTGCACGTTCCAAACAAAGGGAACACAGACAATTCAATGATAAACAGTTGACAGGGCCTTTATGCAGTGGATGTGTATGAATTAATTTAATTGAAGAATAAGGATATTGTTTAGTGTTACTCTAAAGTGGTTGTAAAGGGTTTTGGGTTTTTTTTGTTTTTTAACCTTTCAACTCCCCTCCCAAAATAACTTAGCCCGATCTCATTTCAGTGTTGTGCTTGTGAGCAGCATCACTGCTTTCTCCTCTCCCTCTCCTCACTGGCTCAGAGGCAACAGCGGAAGCCAATGGGTCCTGCTGCTGTCAATCAGATCTATTGAGAGAGGTGGGGGGGCAGGGCCAAGGCCAAGTCACACTGTTTTTATAGAAACAGAACCCTGATCGGTAGCGAGCCTGCATGTCTGCTACCATAGCATGCATTTGCTTTGGGGGCAGACAGTGAAGAGGAAGATCAGACAGAGCAAAAGAGGAGGTTTGGGGTTGTTCTATGCAAAACCACAGAGCAGGTATGTACAACATACACTGCTCAAAAAAAATTAAAGGAACACTTTTTAATCAGTATAGCATCAAGTCAATTAAACTCCTGTGATATTGATCTGGTCAGTTAAGTATCAGAGGGGGTTGTTAATCAGTTTCAGCTGCTTTGGTGTTAATGAAATTAACAGGTGCACTAGATGGGCAACAATGACACAACCCCTCAAAACAGGAATGGTTTTACAGGTGGAGGCCACTGAAATTTTTTTCCCTACTCATCTTTTCTGACTGTTTTTCACTAGTTTTGCATTTGGTTAGGGTCAGTGTCACTACTGGTAGCATGAGGCGATACCTGGACCCTACAGAGGTTGCACAGGCAGTCCAACGATGGCATATCAATGCGTACCGTTGCCAGAAGGTTTGCTGTGTCTCCCAGCACAGTCTCAAGAGCATGGAGGAAATTCCAGGAGACAGGCAGTTACTCTAGAAGAGCTGGGCAGGGCTGTAGAAGGTCCTTTAACCCATCTGCATGACCAGTATCTGCTCCTTTGTGCAAGGAGAAACAGGATGAGCACTGCCAGAGCACTACAAAATGACCTCTAGCAGGCCACTGGTGTGAATGTCTCTGACCAAACAATCATAAACAGACTTCATGAGGGTGGTCTGAGGGCCCCACATCCTCTAGTGGGCCCTGTGCTCACTTCCTGGCACCAAAGAGCTCGATTGGCATTTTCCATTGACCAGAACTGGCAGGTCTGCCACTGGAGCCCTGTGCTTTTCACAGATGAGAGCAGGTTCACCCGTAGTACATGTGGCAGACGTGAAAGGGTCTGGAGAAGCCATAGAGAACAATATGCTGCCTGTAACATCGTTTAGCATGACGGTTTTGGTAGTGGGTCAGTGATGGTCTGGGGAGGCATATCCATGATGGGATACACAGACCTCTACAGGCTAGACAATGACACCCTGACTGCCATTAGGTATCAGGATGAAATCCTTGGACCCGTTTTCAGACCCTATGCTGGTGCAATGGGTTCTGAGTTCCTCCTGGTGCACGACAATGCCCGGCCTCATGTGGCAACAGTATGCAGGCAGTTCCTGGAGGATGAAGGAACTGATACCATTGAATGACCCCCAAGCTTGCCTGACCTAAATCCAGTAGAACACCTCTGGGATATCATGTTTTGGTCCATCCGACACCTCCAGGTTGCACCTCAGACTGTCCAGCTCAGTGATGCCCTGGTCCAGATCTGGGAGGAAATACCCCAGGACACCATCCTTCGTCTCATTAGGAGCATGCCCCGATGTTGCCAAGCATGCATGGGGGCCATACAAACTAGAGTACCGTTTTGAGTTGCTGCAATGAAATTTCAGTAAAATGGACTAGCCTGCTGCATCATTTGTTCACTTTGATTTTTGGGGTGTCTTTGAATTCAGTCCTCTGTAGGTTGACAATTTTAATTTCCATCAAATAATGGGGCATCCTTATGTTCCTAACATATTATTATACAGGATTTATATAGAGCCAACAGTTTGCTCAGCGCTTTACAATATAACGGGAGAAAATATAGCAACAATACAGTTCAATACAAGAGGGATAGGAGGGCCCTGCTCCTTGGAGCTTACAATCTAGGAGCCCAGTCTATGTCAGTATAGATATCCAGCAGGAGATTTTTCCCCATTGAGTTCTGAGGTGTATTCAAAGTGTTCCTTTAATTTTGTTGAGCAGTTTATTTATTTTAAACAACCTTGAGAGTGCATGCACACTGGGCTTTTAAAAAAGCCAGTTCTTTTGGCAGGAAAGATAATATATGATGAGTGTTTTTGTACAGGTGTTGAGGAGTGATTAGTATGTTTTCTGCCAGAAAACTCCTCTCAAAAATGCAAACCAGATGAGTTTTTTTTTTTTTTTCTGCCTCTAAACATCCTATTGTGCATGGATGCAACATTGAACTGTTTCTGCAGGCAAAATACAAAACTCCTGTAGAAGCAGCATTTTGTACGCCAAGTGTGCATGGGCCCTTAGTAGTGCTGATAATAAAATTGATTTGATAAAATGTCAATATCAATAAACATGTTTTCATAATATGTTAAAAACAAATTATTAAAAATAAGGCTTTATAAACTACTTGCCAACCCGCCACAGTGCTTTTACTGGTATGTCGCTGCCTGTTACCGGGGGTGTGTGGCGCGTGCCCTTGTCTGCCTACTCCCCTGTGATTTGACACAGTGGGAGTTCATCAACAGATTCTGGACAATGGTTCATGGCTGGGATTGGCTGTGTCGCATCACAAAACAGAGCTCTGTACAGAGGGAGAGATAGCTTTGTTTCTTTTACTTGCTAAGCAAAATAAATCGATCTGAAATACAAAGCAGCATACAGTAAACACATTAACACTTGCTAGGCACACAACCCCTAAATTGCCCCTAAATGTTAACTTTCCCAGCCAGTGTCATCAGTACAGTGAATATTTGTTTAGCACTGATCGCTATATTAGTGTTACTGGCGATGTTCGTGTCAGATTGTCCTCTGCACTATCGTACGTTGCTGGTCGCTGCCTTTACTAGTATATAAAAAATAAATACAAATTTCTGTACATATCCCATAGTTTGTAGACGCTATAACTTTCACACAAACCAATTAGTATACACTTATTATTTATTTATTTTACCAGAAATATATAGCAGAATACATTTTGGCCTAAACTTATGAAGCAATTAGATTTTTTTTTTTTTTAAAAAAAATATGTTTTATAGAAGTAAAAAAAAAAAAATGTTTTTTGTTTTCAAAATTGTTGGTCTTTTTTAATTATATTATAAAAAAAAAACGCTGCAGTGATCAAATGCCACCAAAAGAAAGCTCTTATTTGTGGGAAAAAATTATATAAATTTGATTTGGGTACAGCATTGCGCGACCGCATAATTGTCAGTTAAAGTATCGCAGTGCTATTTAGCAAAAAATGGCCTGGTCATGAACAGGGTAAAATCTTCCGGAGCTTAATTGGTTAAAAAGCAACCTGTGCATAATTATCTTTCAAACATTGCAGTTTTGCAATTTTGGTATGTGTTATGGCTGGGAAAACCACAAATCCCACCCGTCTATTTTTTCTTTAGCCAGTGTGCATTGCTAACCTTACCTAATGTCTTTCCTAACACCTCACCTTTTTGCAGGTGTGGAAATACAGGTTGGTAATGGTGCAAGGTGGCAGTGAATACTGTAAATTGGTAAGGCTCCATTCAAACTTGTGTGACTTCAAAATCGTGATTTTCATTGCGACTTTACAATGCAACTTGATGTGACTTTAATGCAACTTTGGATGAGAGTAACTTTGGTGCTACTTGGCTTCGACCAAGGATAATTGTTTCCGCTGTACAAAGTCGCACACAAGTCGCATGTACAACATTCAGGTGCGACTTTGATGGGACTTTGGAGGGTTTAACATGAAGTCTATGGCCCT